GACATCATCACCTACTAAATACCAAAAGCTAAGAATATCCTCTTAGGCTCTCTACATGCATTCATTAAAAGTCTATAAAGCATATAAAATAGTGAAAATTTCACTGTTTTAGAAGTTTTAGGGGGCTGGGGATTTAGCGCAGTGGCATAAGCACCTGCCTTGCAAGCAGGTGGTCGTGAGTTTGATCCCCGGTACCGATAAAAATGAAAAAGACAAAAAAAAAAAAAAAGAAGTTTTAACATTTTCTTTAAAAATGTGTCTTATCTGTGTTGTAAAATTTTATTTTTTAAATTGACCAAACTTGTATATATTTAGCACAGAACATGATATTTTCAATTGTGTTCACTGTGCAGACTGGCTACATGGACCTAATTAATATGTGCATTACTGATGTACTTATCTTTTTTATGGTGCTGAGATCACTTAAAAGCCCCTCTCAGTGATTTCAAGAGTGTAATACACTGTTGTTAACTATGTTAACTATGTATACAAAATCTCTTGGAATTATTTCTAACTGGAATTTTGTATTCTTTGACTGGTAACCTTCCAACTCCCCCTGCCCACATTCAGCCCAATAACCACTGCTAGGATTATTTCCAAAAGATGAAAAATATTTCCAAAAGATGAGAAGTATAAAATAAAAAGCGGCCTTTATTCTGAGAACACGGAGAGAGATGACCAGCACCCCCACCGCTGGCATCTGGCGATCTCTCGGGCGGATACGTGGCGTGGGGGTCTGTAAATAGCCTCGGTTTGGGGTGGAACCTAAGGCGGGCATTAGGGATACACAGGTAGCCCATTGGTCCTACGTTTGGGGCCATATATAAATTTCCAGGGGCGGGAAGATGGCATCACAGGTAACTTCCTAGGGGCAGGGGAGATGGGGCTTCCTGCTTCCGGTTGTGGCTTTCCTGGCTACAGTGTCCTGTCTGGGCCAAACCCTTTCAACCACCACTTTTTAAAATTTGTTTCTGTGAATTTGACTTTTGTAGATTCTACAGATTTTTTGTAGATTCTACAGACTCCAGCAGGCCGTGTGATTGTTCCAGCTTGCACTGGGAACAGTCGGCATGTTGCAACCCTCTGCCACGTGGCATGGCACCACCATGTTCAGGAGGGTCACATGGCGACAGGGTGCCGCCATGTTTTGGATCATGTGACAGGGCGCTGCCATGTTCCCAGGTCCCTCACTGAGGCTTCTCTTGTGAACTGCAACAGCCGCCCTGTTGCGGTGCACATGATGCTTCATTGTGCTGCCGAAAGCAGTCCTCTCACTGCAAGGCACACAGTGAGACGCCATCTGCCTGTGTTTCCCAGGGTGACCAGCAGCAGCTCTGTAGCCGCTCTACAGATGATTGCTCACATGCGCCTACCAGACGGATGGCTGCTCAATGGCCCTCTGCTCTGGAATCTTCTCCTCAGGCTCTGCTGCCACTTCGGGAGGAAGCTGGCCCTGAGGGACTTGTTAACATCCATGTGCCTTTTTCCCTTTCTGATCTATTCCAGATTACCCTTAAATTAGGTAGCCTCTCTGTTGACCCACAGAATTATATCCGGCAATTTAAATTTATTACTAATTGTTATGATTTACATTTTAAGGACGTTTATGTGATTCTTAATACCACTCTCAGCTCACAAAAATGGAATCAGCTGTGGCAAGCAACTCAAAAAGAAGCTGATCATAGACATAAGATAAACACCGTGGATAATGACTCTGGGCCTATACCTGTGCCAGAGCAGGTCAAACATACTAACTATAACAAACTTTTAAAACAGGTCCAGGAGGCTAATCAAAACCCAGCTGTGTTCCTAAATTGGCTTTCTAATCCTTGTGCCCCGAAAGCAGTTCCAGCTTTGCGTGCTGTGTCGGGCCACCTCCCAGCCCCTCCCCCATGTGCTGTCCCAGCCCCTCCCTCCCCCATGCGCCGTTGTCGTCGCTGCCATCTTACACGTTTCCAAGGGCAGTCCCAGCCCGCCCCTGTGTGCTACATCCCAGCGCTTGCCCCACCCGCTGGGTGTGCTCTGCTGGAGCGCCGCAAAACAGCAGCTCAGCGGCTCTGCTCAGACATGCTTTTTTTACAATTTGGCTCTGTTCAAGAGATGCTATTTTTTATTACAATTCTCAAACCATTTAATCAAGGTTATTGGCCACCTGATAATTTTTTTTTTTTTGTCTTTTTCATTTTTATCGGTACCGGGGATCGAACTCATGACCGCCTGCTTGCAAGGCAGGTGCTTATGCCACTGAGCTAAATCCCCAGCCCCTCCACCTGATAATTTTACCAGCCTTGTTTATCAATCAAAGCCTTCACCAATATCCTGTTTAACAATTAAGGTTATAAATTCCTTTTTGCTGGGAACCACTAGCTCTATTTCAAGACAAGGGTTTTCTTCAAAGTTTTATTTTATTTGTCTTGGTTCATACTACTGCAAATAACAACTTTAAAAGTAAATGTGTTCAGAATTTGACAGTATTAGATCAGTTTTGATAGATTTATTCATAAGATTGCTAAACCTTTACTGCAAAATGTTTCCATTAAAGCCTTGTTTGGCAGACTAAAGCTTTTTTTGTTAATTCTACATGTCACCCTATAAAAAAAAAAAAGCAATACGCCATCCAGATAAAGCCTGTTCTCTAAAATGCCAATATTAAACTCCTGCATACTTACTTAATTCTACTGTAGTCCAAATCCCAAACAAAAAGGCAAAACTTGACCTTCAAACCTTATAGAGATCTTAATATGTTTTTTCATATTTTTAACACTTGTGACACTTGGAGTTCTGAGACAGGTAAACCTACACAAGGTGGAACTGCCTGGCCCCTCCATGGACCACGCTCAAATGCAGAAGAAGACATTGGGCAACAAAGTGCCCCATCCTGGTGTTCTTTGAGACCTTACTCCAGGGCTGCTGGACTGTCCTAGCCACCAGAGAGTGGGTAAGTCATCCTAAGTGCTAGCCCTCACAGGAAATGTTGACACTGCCAGATTCGTCACCAACAGAAAATCGCTGCTGAAGACTGAGAAGACTCAGGGCCAGCAGCCCCCTTTGTGGGTGTCCGTCTCAGAGTCCAAGTTCCACTAAAACTCTCAGGTAAGACATTCTCTATATTTGTGGACGTAGAAGCCATATATACAGAGTTCTTCCTGAGTATTCAGGCTGCTATATTAAGTCCTTAATCTCTATGACAGGGTATTGATGGTCAACCTATGCCATTTACAAACAGGGCCTATTTTGTGCAGGTCCCAGTCCTAAATCTTAAAATGCCTTTTATACAGGCTGACTTAGACACACTGAGGTCTCAACAGCTTCCACCTGTTGTTGCTGGTGGACCCTTCCTCAGTGATATAGACCACTCCCTTCCTTTCTTATTCACCAGTTTGTCAGACAACCCTGGTCAAGACAGATACATTTTGTCTTCTCACTTGGTTTCTACTTTTTCAGGATACATAAAAGCCTTTCTCATACTTGCTAAAGTTCTGTTACAGCAAATCATTCCAAGGACTACAACCAGGTTACAGTGACCCATGCCTAAATCAAAGTTGCTGGACTCCCATCCTGGTTTCACATCACTCAGGCTAAGAGGTGCCCTTCCAGCCCTAAATCTGATCATTCTGAGTGGTCATCTCATCTTCTGTCGCCTACCCGTCTCCGTCTCACAAAAGCCTCGCAGCCACAGTTAACAGGCTAAGTCATGTTTTGTTATCCACTTTGGTTCCTAATTTCTTACATTCTATTAATGATCATTTTTACAGCAGGACTCTTTAACAGTATTGCCTACAGACTCCAACATCATGCATACCAGAGACAAACCTTACCAACCTACCGTCTTAACTTTTATGCTTTCAGATGGGGGAGTAATCACCTCTCATAACTCCACTCCTCCTAACCCCATGTTTAATTTTCAGAATTCTGTCTTACCATGGAAATGTTTCTACCTCAACATGGTCCTGATAGAATGATATGTCTAAATCAAAGGCACCTTTCCCTCTACCTCATCTGGGTCCTTAAATATGATAGTGCCATGTCTCCTCATAACATCTTGTCTCTTTGTTTTTCCAGTCTAACATACATGCATTCACCAGTGAAGTTGTCCTGGCTAAAACACCTGGCATCAGCATCAACCTTCATCCCATCGACTCCCCTAGGCTCCAGTACAGCACCCTTTGCCAGCAGGAAGTAGTTAAAGAGAGAAATCTTCGCCCCTTTTCATAATAATAATCATAAGATGGGATATGAAAGGGTTTTGGCCCAGACAGGACACTGTAGCCAGGAAAACCAGAAGCAGGAAGCCCTATCTCTCCGGCCCCTAGGAAGTTACCTGTGACTCCATCTTCCCGCCCCTGAAAATTTACATATGGCGCCAAACCTAGGACCAATGGGCTACCTGTGTATCCCTAATGCTTGCCTTAGGTTCCACCCCAAACCGAGGCTATTTACAGGCCCCCACGCCACGTGTCCGCCGGAGAGATCGCTGGACGCCAGCAGTGGGGGTGCTGGTCATCTCTCTCCGTGTTCTCAGAATAAAGGCCGCTTTTTATTTTATACTTCTCATCTTTTGGAAATATTTTTCATCTTTTGAAATAATCCTAGCACTCTGCATTTAGCACCCTCTTCTCCACACTGCACCTCGCTTTCCTTGCCTCTTCCCTCCGGTACTCACCCTGCACTCTGCTTTTCCTTTAGGAATCTTCCTCCTGATGTTTTCAATCCTGGTGACACTTTGGGTTTCTCCACTGAATTCTACTCAAGCACCTTCCATGTTGGCCTCTCAGTGACCCTTTTCCTGTTTTGGAGGTCAGTTCCTAGGCCCCTGAGGCCTCGAGTCAGCAGTGCTTTCTCCACTGAGGTTCCTGGACCCCAGCATAGCACCCTGTCACACTGGGTCAGGGCTTTGTGGGCATTTCTCATGAGTCCTGTCCTTTTGCCCCCCTCTCCCATACCAGCCCTCCCGAATTTCTTTTGTACTTTTAGGGAAAAAACATCAAGACAACCGGTCCTATTTTCCAAATGTAAATTTATATTAGACTTTGTTCTAGGTACCATCTATCCAAGGGAAAGTGTTCAGCACTTCCATTTATTTCTGCCTCAAGCTATAGAAAATAATCTTTAATTAATCAATCAACACCTTATGTGATGAAGTTGAAAACACAAATTTATATTCAGATTTTTACTTTCAACATGTGTTTGAATTTCCAAGAGATATTAAATGGAACATGTGCCTCTGAATTGAGAGTGGCAGTGGTCCAAAGAATGGGTCATGCAAGTCGAGTTTGGCCAGTAAATGAAGTTTTAAAGTACAGAACAGGAGACCATTTGGGGACTGGCAGCACTATTAAGTCACTAACTGCTACCCTCCATTGCTAAGCAACTGTCTCACCAGGGGTGGAGTTCAGGATGACCTTGTGCTGCAGTTGACACACAGACTCAACAGATGGGGGGGGGTCCCTTAAAAGATGGAATTACTGGGCTGGGGACATAGTTCAGTAGCACAAGCATCTGTCTGGCAAGTGCAAGGTCCTGAGTTCCAAGTACCAAAAAAAAACCCAAACTAAAACAAAACAAAAATCAAGATGGCATTATTTTGGCTAAGTTTTGGAGGACAATTTCACTGCACAAGGGTGTTGGGTGCCAGTAGTTTCAAGAGCTCTCTAAGTTCCCAAGGGGAAGAACAATGAGAGGATGACGAAAACAAAAAGAGACACAAAGCTGTGGTCAGGTGGAGCCCCTGTCCAGATGGGAGGAGGCTGCTCAGTCATCGCAATGGGTTTATTTATACAATTGTTATTCCACCTCATTTTGCTTAACTAGCTTCCTTCTTACACTGATGTTTTTCTGGTTGTAGAGCTGGAACACCTGTTTACCTCTAGTACTCTGTGCTCTCACACATGTGTGAACGATCACTAGCTCAGTGGCTCCCAACAGTTAGGGACCAGGCTATATGGGGGCCCAAACTACAGGTCCCCACAGTTTCTTTCTTTTCTTTTTTTTTTTTTTTTTTTTTTTTGTCTCTTTCCTTTTTATCGGTACTGGGGATTGAACTCACAACTGCCTGCTTGCAAGGCAGGCGCTTATGCCGCTGGGCTAAATCTCCAGCCCCGGTCCCCAAAGCCTCAACATTGACTTTGACTTGCTTCAAAAGTAGAAAAGTTTCTGTGGAAGGTTGTAGGCTTCCTGGCTGGGCGGGACAAATCTCCAGGGATCCCAATGCAAGATAACATCTGCTGAGGACAACACAAAGCAAGCATATACCCATTGTGGGAAAGATCTTAACTTGTTTCCTTTGTGATATCAAATCTGTTCCTCATCCTACCTCCTCCTTCTTACTGCAGTCCCTCTTCTAGGAAAAGTACAATACTCCCCGCCCTGTGTTTCTCACTGGCTAACAAAGTGGGCCAGCCAGAGGCCTCTGTCTTTGCCCAGTCTGAGGCACTGACCTCCTGCTCCCCTGAATCTGCAAATTTCTCTTTTTCTTTATCCCTCACTATACTCCCCTGAGAAGGCCACCAAGAGTCTGACGGGCCCCCAGTACAACGTTTGGATGACCACTCCCTGTACAGCAGGGCAGTAAGACCCTGTAGCTCAGTGTACCATGATACTAACACAGGCATGTGGGAGGCTCAGCTCTGCTTCTGCTGAAACAGGAACGTTGACCAGGAAGGGAATACAGGTCACTGTGGGGTACAAGTCAGGTGATCTTGTCAGATGCCCCTAGTGTGCCGCCACCAGAAATGTGGACACATTCAGAAGCCAACTGCAGAAAAAGCACTGAGGGATTCCTGAAGTCTTAACATGTCTCCGTCTCAAAAAAGGCAGCTCTCTCATGCTACAACACAGAAGAGCCATAGACAAATTTAGGGTAGTTGATATGAATGGCAAAATCCTGAAAAACTTACAGCTCCCTCAAAGGTTAAAAATCAGAAAGCGTGTGTAACCCAGACCTGTCCCCTTTGCCCACCCCTCTCCCTCTTCAGGTCCTGCAGGTCTTACCCTTTCAAGTCACAAGAGATGAGTCAGAGCACTGGGCATGGTCACTGCCTGGAGTTAAACCATAACAAGATGCAGTCAGAGACCACAACACACATGGCCACAGGAGGAACTGTGGGGTGGGGAACCCCTATGGGTCATGACTACAGGACCCCAAGGCTCTCAGGAATCAGGCCCCCATACTTACTTGCAGCCTGAGTGTAGTTCCCTCCTTGTACACCTGTGGGAAGCAAATGTCCTGTGAGAAGCCAGGGAAGAGCCAGGACCATGACAGTCTGGAGCTCAGGGAAGTTTCCAGAACTGGGACGCAGACCCAGGGAAGCATCAGGAGGCATGAGCACAGGGTATGTCCAAGACCTGCACCAACTGCCCTTCTGGAGCTCTGTCTTCGCAGGGACCTTGCCCTCTGACCCTGCCTGCTGGGAATCAGGTCCCCATCACCATCACCCTCTGGGTGACAAATCTGTCCTTCCTGTTCCTTGTACTTTACAACAGAGTAAGTGTCCTGTGGTCCTGGGCAGGGTAAGCATCTGTATGTGGACAGTGTTTCCTATAATGAGGTGATCAAACTTCTCCCTGGGGCCTGAATCCCAAATACTGAGACCCTAATCCCTTCTTACCTGGTCTCATTCTCCTCCACCTCACAACAGCCACCAGAGCAGTGACCACAAGGAGACTGGTGATGGCAGTGGCTCCTATGGCTCTGACCACTCCAGGGGGGATGGAGGGCTGAAGAGGCCGCTCTGGGAAGGGAAGAAAAGGTGAAAGGTCCTGATGCCCAGGTGTCAGCCCTGAACTACTTCAGGCTGTAAAAAGATTCCTGCTTTTTTGAAGAGACACTGTGCTCCCATCTTCCTTACCCCATCTCAGGGTGCGGGGCTCAGGCAGCCCTTCATGTTCCACCCGGCACATGTAATTCTGCTCCTCTCCAGAAGGCACCACCACAGCCACCCACTTCTGGAAAGTTCCATTCCCATCAGGCCTGGTCTCCACCAGCTCCATCTCCTGGATCAGCTCCTGCCCATCCCGCTGCCAGGTTAGGGAGATCTCCTTAGGGTAGAAGCCCAGGGCCCAGCACCGCAGGGTGACCTGTTCCTTGGAGACGGGGTGGCGGGTCACATGTGCCTCTGGAGGCTCTGAGAAGAGAGGGACAATTGAGGCACTTTGCATTCTTTCTGAGCTACTCCAGCAAAGGCTCATATGACCATCCTGAAAACAGACGATAAGCAGAGTTTGGGAGACTGCAAACCCCAGAGACCAGGCTAGTCACAGGCATCTGGAATGATCTAGTCCTCAATAATTTCTAGAATCAGTGGAGCTGGTCCAGGGGAAAAGGCTTCAGGTCTCTGAGTAGCTGAAAAGGGACCTCTGATCACGAGTGGACCAGAATTGGGGGTGAGAGACTCAGAATATTGGAACTCAACCCCCCAAAGTCACTCAGTGGTGGGGTGGTGAACAAGACCAGGAGAAATCTACAGCCAGAGGGGAAGTGCTGATAGGACATCTCAGAGATCTCTTATTCCTCTGACAAAGACTCCTGTTTTCCCAAGAGAAGGGCAAGCCTTCCAGAGATTCTCCTAGGAGATGTGAAATCCCAGCAGTACTCCGCCCCCTCCATCAGAAGAAAGCCAGAGCACTGCAAGGAGGGTCCCATTTTCCTTTCCCCTGAGGAGGGAGATACCTCTCTAGGTTAAGAAGTGATAGTGGAAGGCTCCCTGTGGCCCCGGTACCTGCGCGCTGCAGCGTCTCCTTCCCGTTCTCCAGGTATCTGAGGAGCCACTCCACGCACTCCCCCTCCAGGTAGGCGCGGTAGCGCTCTGCATAACGGGACTCCACCCACTTGCGCTGTGCGATCTGAGCCGCCATGTCCCGCGCGGTCCAGGAGCTCAGGTCCTCATTCAGAGCGATGTAGTCCATGCCTTCGTAGGCGAGTTGCACGTACCCACTCAGGAAGCGTCCGTCGGGCCCCACTTCGCATCCATACATCCTCTGGAAGGTGTGGGAACCTGGCCAGGCCCCAGTCGTCAGCCCCGCCCCCACCCGGCGATTTCCACCCCCAAACTGAAAGTAAAGCGTGGTCGCAGTCCCCCTGTCCTCTTCCAGGACTGGGGTCTCCGTGGGTCTTGCGGGCTCCGTGAACCTCGGGGCCACTCGGACCGGCCGTGGGGACAGGCAGAGTCGTGACCTTTGACCCGGCCGGGGTCACTCACCCTCATCGCTCTGGTTGTAGTAGCGCAGTGCGGTCTGCAGGTCCACCTTGTCGCTGTGTGCTGCGCCCTTGGCTCTCCACGTCTGCATGTCCCAATACGCCTGATCTTCCCGCTCCACCCATGCAGCCCGAGGCTCTGCCTTCGGGTCCGCGGCGTCGCTGTCGAAGCGCACGAACTGCGTGTCGTCCACGTAGCCCACGCCGATGAAGCGGGGCTCCGCGCGGCCAGGCCGGGACACGGAGGTGTGGAAGAAGCGCAGGAAGTGGGAGCCTGCGGGGCAAGTCGGGGCAGGGTGGTAAACGGGCTGCGGGGGCTCTGGAAACAGGACGAGGCGGCGGAACGGCAGGCGGCGCCGCGCTGGCCCGGCAGGGGGCCGGAGCCGGGGTCAGGACCCGGCGGACGGTGTGGAGCTGGGGTGTGGCCGCTGAGGCGGAAGTTCAGCTCCTGGTTCCTGCTCCCGCAGCCGCGCAGGCCCTCCTTCCTCCCCGTTTCTCTCTGCCCCGCACTCACCCGCCCATGTCTTGCTCAGGGCCAGGGCCCCCGACAGCAGCAGGAGGAGGGTTCGGGGAACCATCCTCACCGCCTTCAGAAGTTGGGAAACTCTGAGTCCTGATACCCGATAACCGCACACCTGGACCCATGGCGGTTGATTGGCTGGTCTAGGAGCCGGCAACCAATGGACGTGAGAATCGGGGTTGCCTCACCAGTGTCCGGGCAGAAGAATAGGACACCGATTGGTAGAGGGAAAGTGAAACCCCGAGAGGTGGGGAAAACCCCGGGGATTAAAATCCTCACTATGACGCCGCCCTGGGGCTGAGATCCCGACAGCCACTCCTGTGGGCCTTGGACGCCGCCCCACCCTCTCCTGCTCTGGGCGCTCTCTGTCACTTGGTCTCCCGGGATCCTGCGCAGAGGCTGTGAAGAGCGCGTGGCTCGGCCTCCTCCTCGTGGCCCGGATCCCTCTCCCGAGCTGCGTCCCCATCCCTCACTGCCTCCACCCCGGACTCCCGGAAGGAAACTCGGCCCGGGGAGCACAGCGCACAGGGAGCCTGTCCTGAGGACGCAGGGTTCTGTGAGCCTGGACAAGCTGTGCCTCAGCACGCGGAGATTCCGGGAGACCGCACAGCTGAGTGGTGAGGAGCTGCAGGGGGCGACGCGGAAACGGCCAGCAAGGCCGGGAGTCCAGGAGGGGGCGCTGTCGCACACACGCTGGGGCCTAAAGGGCATTGCAGTTCCCTGTGCAGCGTTCCAGGGTTTACTCTTTTTTTTTTTTTTTTTCTTTTTTTCTTTTTTTGGTCTTTTTCCTTTTTATCGGTACCGGGGATCGAACTCACGACTGCCTGCTTGCAAGGCAGGCGCTTATGCCGCTGAGCTAAATTTCCAGCCTCCCAGGGTTTACTTTTAGATAATGTATCTATCCCTGCAGTTGTTGTGCTTTAAAATCACCTTAATTTTACAGTTCTGAGCTTTTCAGTATGAGTCCAGGATATAATTTCAGTATTGTAGTTTTACCCTTCAGGGAGTGGAGATTCTAAGACCCCAAGTGATTGCCTGAAACCCAACACGTGGGGCGCCAAACCTATCTGTAGGTGCACTGATTGCTGATCAGCCTGAGTGGGAACGCCCAGCTGAACTGAGTGAGGGTGGCTGTGGGCATGGACGATCCACCTGATAATTGTTGCTGGAATGGCATAAAGCGTAGGAGAAGAAGACTACATGCTGTTAATTTCCCAAAAGGTGTTTGTTGAGGCTGGTTTTTCTCAGTCACCATCGGAGTTCTGGTTCTCAGTCTTGGGAATGGCTGCTGTTCTCTTTGTGGGAGCTCTGGTCTTCGCTTTTATCTTGAGCATCGCTCAACATCTTGTGCCTGGCTCTGGTGCACATCCCTCAGCTCTGGCACAGATTCTTTACCCTAGCTTCCACCCTGGTCCTTGGGCCTTTCCAGTGCAGATCCTTGCTAGGGACTCTGTTGAGACATTGCTGTGGGTTCTTGGCCTCCAGCTGGACCCCTTACAAACTCTGAAGTGGATCCAATCCCTTGGCTGGATTCTTTGGGTCTCTAGTAGAGAAATTTCTCGCACTCTTCTCTTGACTTTTTGGTTGATTATTATGACAGTCCTATAAATGTATGTGTCCTGTGTTAAATCTATTCCCTTGCAAACCCTGACTAAAATGTTCTGTTTCATTATAATACAAAAGATTAATTTATAAATTAGGTACTCTAAAAGTCAACAGAAATAAATACTAACAAAATATTAGAACAATTTATGCTATAAAATATAATAAAAGTTATATGAACTGTGATTTTCCTCTCTTTTTTTTTTTTCTAAAATAGAGGATTGAGAGAACAGAATAGAAGATTCAGAAACAACTCCAGGCCCATCTAGTCATCTGCTCTTTGACAAAAGTGCCAGAAACATGCTGGAGAAAAGAGAGCCTTTCTAAAAAGTGAGGCTGGCTCCCTGTGTACTGGTGGAGGCCCTGCTGGTCAGGGAGAAGTGGAAAGGAAGCCGCGCAGCCTCCCTGTGCACTGATGGGGGTCCTGAAGCCTGGGAAAAGCAGTGAGGAAGCCGGGCAGATTCCCTGTGCAGCAGAGGCCCTGTGGGCAGGGGACAAACAGCAGGGAAGCAGCCTCCAACCTGCTGCCCCGAACCTACGTGAGCAACCGACAGGACACAGGCCGGGATGATAATCACTGAAGTAGGGAAGCAGCCTGCATTTATTTATGTTACTTGATCGCCTTTGCCAGCCTGGGACCCGTGGTCTGAGCAACTATTTAGAGGATAACAGTTTGTAATTAGTAACCATTGTAGATTTCCTCTTGTCCTGTTACTGTTTCATTTCATTTTACTGTTTTGTTTTACTCCCTTTTAAATAAAAATTACAAAAATGGGGCTGACAAATGCCTCTCCCCATGCAGAACAGAGTCTAGATCCATATCTCTTAGTGTGTAGTAAACTAAAATCAGTAAGCATCAAATATCTAAATGTGAAAAGAACACAATCTGCTGGAAGATAAAATTGATAAAACACTTGAAGACACAGGCAGGCATAGGCAAGGATTTTCTGAACAGAACTCCAGTTACGCAAGAAATAACATCAAGAGTCAAGTGAGATCACATCACATTAAAAAGCTTCTGCATAGCAAAGGAAACAACTGAGTAAAGAGACAACCTATAAAATGGCAAAAAAAAAAAAAAAAAAAAGCCAGTTATTCCTGGGGAAGAGAACTAACATCTAGAATATATAAAGGACTCAAAATAGATTCCCAAAATAAAAGACCCAGTCAACAAATGAGCAACTGCAATGAATGGGCAGTTCTCAGAAGTACTATAAATAGCTAGTAAACACGCTAAGAAATGTTTGATACTCCTGGCAATTAGAGAAATGCAAATTAAAACAATACCATCGTTCCACTGTCCCCAAGGAATAATGGCTGTCATCAAGAAATGAGATAATAAGGGCTGGGGATTTAGCTCAGAGGCACAAGCATCTGCATGGCATGTGTGAGATCATGAGTCTGATCCCTCATACTACAAAAAAAAAAAAATTAAGTTATGACCAAACTGTAGGAAGAGGAACCCTACATTGTCAGTAGCATGTCCACTACTATAATCAGTATGGAAGTCAGTATGGAGATTCCTCAAAAAACTAAAAACAGAAATTCCATTTGACCTATCTAGTCCCTTTCTAGGTATCTTCCTGAAGGCATTGAAGACACTATGTTACAATGATACACACATAGCTATGATTTTACCAGCATAATTCATAGTAGCTCAGTCTTAGAAGTAGCTTACCTGTCTATCAACAGATGAATGATAAAGAAATGTGATGTATAAAATATACATACATATATTGGCCATAATGAAGCATAAATTTCAGTCATTTGTAGGAAGATGAATGTGCCCTGAGACTATAACACTAGGTGAAATAAATCAATCCACAGGCCTAAATATTGCAGGATTTCTTTTTTATGAGAAACCCAAAATACAAATAAATCCAAGAGAAAAAGAAAAGATTAGATCATTGGAAACAGGGAAGGAGATCTTTGCAAAAGAGAACAGGATCAATAGATGGAAGGTGGAGGGCAGGGAAAGGGGATGAAAAACCTTAGATGTGCTATGCGCACACACCAGTTCCCCAAGATGATATATCCTGATTATGTACTAAAACATGTACTAATAAAAGTTAAACTTTCAAAATAATGAATCGGTTTCCATATCACAGTTCAGCCTTTTATGGGTAATTGGGTCCCTTTAGAAAATGAAGGTCAAAATAATTAGACATTGTAGGTGATAGAAAGTTACACTCCACTTAGCTTACTTAGCTGTGGGAATGAAAATATCTGGACTCCGATCCAGTCCCATCTCTCACAGAACTTCTGCCCCTTGAGTCTTGTGTTCCTTATTCCCTTGTTTCTTTCAGTATGTTTTTCTTTTTGGTACCGGGGATGGAAGTCATGATCTTGTGCTTGCCAAGCAGGCACTTACACCACTAAGCTAAACCGTTGGCTCTCCCAGTATGTTTACAATAGTGTGTCATTCCCAACACGAGCCTTACTTGGTCTGCCTGTTCGTGGCTTCCTGTGCAGGGCGCTACTGGGTGCTGCGTGTGTCCTGGAACCTGTAGGGGTCTTGCCTGCTGCGTGAGGCTGTCCTTCATTTGGTTTCACTGCTGACATTTTACAGTTTATGATTCTACCACAACTTGCTACTTTCCTATTGTGCGTGTGGTTGATTCCAGCATTTGCCATAAACATCAGCACATGCGTCTCCTGGGACACACAAGCAAGGACGTCCCCAAGAATAAGCTCCCAAGTAGGACTGTTCTAGAAGCTCCTGTCTTCCGCCCAGTTACAGAAGGCTAACTACCGTAGTGCTTGCACCAATTTAAATCTTCACGAAGAACCAGCGAGAGTTCATGATGCTGCGGTGCTGAGCTGGAAACGCTGGGCTGGAGGGGTGATGGAAGAGCTGGAGCCCAGTCTTGGGCGCAGAACCCCATCACAGGCATGCATCAACACCTTCGTTTCCTCTGCTTTGCTCCACAAACTCCGGGATTGCACTGTGGGAGCACGGAGCCCAGTCCTGCTGCCTGTCGGCGTAACTCCATGATATAGTTCATGTGTTTGGAATCCTCCAAATAAAAATCAAAAATGTGACAGATTACAGAACAAGGAGGCAGGGAGAAGGGGAGGAAAAAAGGAAAAGAAAGGAGGGAAGAAAAAAGACAATAGAAAGTTTAAGAGATTCAACTGTATACATACATTACCAAAATGTGAGGAAACAGATGTAGGTAATGTCTTTTGAATAATCAAAACTTAAAGAAACTACCTGTTATGTACTGTTGCATGACAAACAACAATGAGACTTACCAGCTTCAAACAAGAACCATCTAAGCCACGTGTGGGGGTGCACACTTGTAGCCCCAGACCGCGGGAGGAAGGCAGGCAGGCCACCGTGAGTGCAGCCAGCCTGGACTGTGCAGTGAATTCACGGCCAGCTCGAACTGTGCAGAGAGATCCCATTGCAAAGAAAATGTTTTTTTTTTTTAAACCAAGAATCATCCATTAGCTCATAAAATTAACACAAAGACTGATAAGATGCAACTAAGGCAGTGGGAAAATGGAGTACAGAGACGAGTTCACAGGCGGAATAAGGAACCTTTCATACGTGCATTAATGCCAGTGTGCCAAGATGCCAGCTGCCAAGCTGGGCTTGAACTCAGCAGACTCTTACGAGGGGACCCACCTGTCAGAGACCAAGGGCCAGCAGCCAGGAAGCACACGAAGCCAGGAGCAGAAATGCAATCTGGGCTACTGTGGCTTTCCTCGCTGCAGCCCGCTCTGCTTTCTCCACGGCATTTTTTCATGTTTTATTCTGCCCAAGCTTGTGCAACAGAGTCAGTTTCTCTCTCATGCTTCACTCTCACTATTTCAAATAAACTTTGCCACAGTTTTTTTCCAAAATAAAAAAGAAAGAAAACTGACCCTGAGTGATGGACAGAAGAGATGTTTGTAGGATGAATCATAGACCTAGGCAACCTAAGAAGACTAGAACAAGGTGCTCTCAGGACGGAAGGTTAGGGAAGTCCCATGTGTCCTAGGAGGAGAGGGCTGGGCTGGGCTTGCTGCACGTCTGTTCATACTTACAGGTGGACCAAGGTACCCACGGAGATCCCTGGGTTTCACCCATTCCCCTTCTTGCCCCAGTAGATTACAGCAACCCTGCTGCTGCCTGTGGACCTGCACCCATCCCTCCTGCTTTCGAAGAGGGAGCTGCTCCTGCCTTCTGCTAGTCCTGGGAAACCGCGGTAGAAACCACCCCAGCAGTAAACATAACATGTGGTGCAATGGGGCCCTTGATTGTCCCCTGGTAAGAGTGGCCGGACCCTTTGGAAAACTAGGCCCTCCCACCTATAGAGCCCAGAGTTGTAGAGATGAGAGGTGCTGGATCCCCAGTGGGTGAATCTAAGTGATGGAAAACAGGGCGTTGTGGTCAGGGCTTACAGGGGAAAAGGTTTCATACAGGTCACATGACTTACAGGATTTTGTTTCTGTGGTGCCAGGGATGGAACTCATGACCTTGTGCTTGCCAGGCAGGCGTTTACGCTGCCAAGCTAAACCCCATCCCTTCTAGGATTATTTTATAATGTTCATCAAAGAGTCAAATGCAAAAAAGGAGGAGATCTGTCCACACACTGGAGACCCAAAAATCCAGCCTTGCGGATCAGGTGCATCCAGAGTGCTGCGTGGGTGTGTTGCTGAGGGTCTTGGAGCAGGAGGGAAAACACACCCGTGGAAAGAGCAGTCAGTTTAGCAGCTCCTGGTTGGTTGGCCACCTGAAGACATAGTGATGCACCAGGGCCCAGTGCTGGCCCCTACTGCTGACTGGACACATGGCCAGTGAAGGCAGTAGCTGCGCTAGCCAAGTGGAATCCGTGCTGCTGGACCCTCATGGGTCTGGTCTCTGCCACTGCAGCTGCAACACACAAGAGCCCATCATGGCTTGTCCTGGGTGACTGCTGATGGAGGCTGGCTCATGTCACCTTGTCTGCCACCTTGTCCAGATGTTTTCTAGTGGGTAACATGTCATTTAGGCCCATGTACAATTTACATCTTGTTTTGGATGTTCTGAGCCAATTTAAGACTAAGAGGGTTACACAGAACCTCATTCATGGACGCTTGTCATGTGTTGCTTGGTTCCAATGGTCAGGGCCCAAGAACACAACCAAGATGGCTCTGAAAGGGGCTTCTTTTTGTACCATGGTGGTATAACCTGCCTGTACTCCAGGGTTCCCTCTGGTGGTTGTTCAGCTGGTATTTTTCAGCTAATTCCTGCCTCTTTCCCACTAGACTCCTAAACACCATGGGGACAGTGATACGGGGGCTGATAGCACCCAGCCTGCTTCAGTGTGCTTTGCTGTCCAGGTCCCACTTGAAACTGGCATCATCACCTGCAACCCAGAGAATGGGCAAATAATGTCTCTCAGTGCAAAATGCATCATCACAACCAAGGAGGCTGAGCAAACAGACTGCTTCCTCTTTTGCACTAAGAGGTTCCCGCTGCAACAGATGGTCTTACATTATGAAGATTACCCTGCCTCGGTCTCACTGCTGAACACGAGAGCCTCAATGTCAGTGAAACGGCCACCCCTAAATCTCAGAGAGCTTTATATTCTACCACCTGGGGGCATATGTCTCACCATGACCTTCAGGGCATCCTACCTCATGTGCATCCATTCCAGACAACACGGTGATGTAGTGAAGTGCCCTGACTCAGTATGGTTAGGACATGGAGGGCAGCCAGGTGTCTAAGCACTGTAACACAGAGGCAAGGACTCAACGTAGCCCCGAGGCAAACTGAATCAGTAGCAGCAGCATGCCTCACATCATTAACCTCCCCACTGATGGTTCCAGATCCACAAGAGCTGCCCCTGGGCACAGCATCATTTCTAACTAGGTTGGGATTAGGTGGTTTCAGGTGTTTCCATTTAGCCTTCACAGCAGTGAAAAAATTCCTGCATACTCCAGGGATACAGGGTGAGTTCCCCTAACTGTCAGGATACTAATGCTGACTTTACCCACAGGAGAAGCCTGGGAGGTGTTGCAGACCCAGTGGTCCAAATGTGAGACAGATTTGGTCCAGGCTTGTCCCTGTCCACAGCAGGTCCACTGTATCAGGGCAGGCATAACCACGCACAGGGATCTGTGTATGGTGTCAACTCTAACTCAGATCACTCTTCAGTACTGTTCTGATATTCTTTCCCCCCATATGGTCTCCTGAGGAAATGGCTGTGGGGTACTTTCCAGGACTGGAGGAACTGTCACTGCATATGCCATGATGTTGCAGGGCCCTTCCTACAGATGCAGACACCTCCTCAGCCACTGGATTCTGAATCTGAACATAGGCATGGATATGGAACTCAAGAATGGAATCATGAGATCTTATTGCCTCAAACAACTGCAGCCTGCTGCCCTGTGTTTTATCACAGCTCCCTTGCAGCCAACCATTTGTCTGGACCCCAGGGACACCATCCTCCATGAAACTCCACCACCCCAGTAACCCAGCTGTTACTGTGGGTTACTGGGGTGAGGATGTCCTCTGACTTCTGCTGGTTAGTTACTACCACTTGGTCTCAAGCACTTTAAGGCCAGATTCTCCTCATTGAAATGCCAGAGTCCCACACTGGGGCCTCTTTTCTTACTCTTATCACTGGCCTTCAGAAAACTACACCCCAATCCCGTTAGCTCTGTGGGTCCCTCTCCTCAGCACATTCTTGAATGCTCTGGTGAGTGGGGTGCTCTCTGGGCCTCTTGCGGAGGCCCCCAGTGAGTCTTATGGCCTCACAGTAGCTCCCCATTCTAGGTGTCCTATGCTCTTGTTCTCTTATTCCATTCTCCACCATCTTCCTGGGCAGCCAAGTCATGTTCACCTGCTGAAAGTCAGACGCCAGTTTTTCCAGTCTTCACAGAGCCCATAGAGCAGCACAAATTAATTAAAACAGTCATGACCAGATCAAAAGCAGGAAACACCGTTCATGAAAGTTGTATGTTCTTGTGGGGAAGCACTCAGACTGCATCAAAGCTGGAGCATGTAAGAACACTTCTGGATAGCCCTGAGGAAACGACCCTGTTGTCAGTGTAGGCATACACTGCGCCTGGTTACATAACCATGACTCAGCAGTGGACAGTTAGCCATGTTCCAATGAGGCCAGCACCAAGCAGGCAAAAGTCCTCCATTCCATTTACATCTTTTAATTTTTTTTTTTTTTTTTTGTCTTTTTCGTTTTTATCGGTACCAGGGATCGAACCCACGACTGCCTGCTTGCAAGGCAGGCGTTTATGCCGCTGAGCTAAATCCCCAGCCCCTCCATTTACATCTTTACCAGGAAACTCTGCTGGTTTACATCAAGCACAGGGGCGTGAGACTTGTTTGCCATAGGCTAGTACAGCTTAGCTGTTGGTAGCAAGCAGCCCATTAGAAGAGGAAGTTACAGCCAGATCTGGTGGTACATGCTTGTAATGTCAGCACTTGGAATGCAGAGACAGGAGGCTCCCTGAGTTCCAGGCCATCCTCAACCACATAGTGAGATCATGTCGCAATACACAAACGACAGAGAGATAGAGTTAGCTGGAGCGAGGTTTGAGGACAGTTCCTGTGCAGCAGGGAAGTGAGAAGCAGCAGCTCAGTGCCCCGCGAGGCTGGCACAGGGATGAGAAGCGCAGCTCCGCCCGCCTCTGCTGACACAGGGAAGCTGGTGCCGAGGGGTCACAGTGACTGTGGGGCAGGCTGAGCTGATCTTCCCAGCTCCCCACTGTGCCAACAGGAGCAGAGACACACTTGGAAATCATCAGCGACAGAGCATGCAGATGTTCTCGAAATCAACAAATCTTGTCTCTAATTCCACACACCGCAGCTCTCTCCTGGGAAGACACAAGAGTCACAGCAGTCAGGATAGTTGATGTAAATGGCCAAGTGCTGAATAGTCTACTACTGTTTCCTCGTCACTGGAGAGAGTGTGTAACCCAGGCCTGTGCCTCCACCCGCCCTTCTCCCACTTCAGGCCTGCAGGGTCTCACCTTGTCATGTCAGGTGAGTTGAGTCAGATCCCTGGGCACCGTCATGCCTGGAGTGGAAGCATAAGAAGATGCAGTCAGAGGCCACAGGACACACAGCCAAAGGAGGAACGGTGCAGTGGGGCATCCCCAAGACTCAGGAATCAGCCCCCACACCTACTTGCAGCCTGACCGATTTGGGAAGCACATGTCTTGTGAGAAGCCAGGGAAGAGGCAGGGCCTTGATTGCCTAGGAGAACTGCCCAGGCCTGGAGCCCAGGCAAGCTTCTAGAACTGGGGTGCAGACTCAGGGAGGATCAGGAGGCACGAGGGAAATGCATGTTAAGGAGCTGCACCAACTGCCCTCTTGGAGCTCTGTCCTGCAGGGACCTTCACCTCTGACCCTGACTGCTGGGAATCAGGAGTGACAAATCTGTTCTTCCTGTTCCTTGTGCTTTATAATAGGGTAAGTGTCCTGGGGCCCCAGGCTTAGTAAGCACCTGTGTGTGCGGATGGTGCTCACCGTAATACTGCAGGCCTACTCCTGCCTGGGTCCTGAACGCTGAGCCCTCAGACTCTGACCCCTTCTTACCTGTGCTCTTTCTCCTCCATGTCACGAGAGCCACCACAGCAGTGACCACAAAGAAACTGATGATGGCAGCAGTGACACTTTGGCTTTGACTTTGTTATGGTTTGTGTTTGGATGTCCCCCCAAGCCTCATGTGGTCATGGTGGGCAGGCCTCTCAAAGGTGGCTGAATCTAGCGTTTGTGACTGGTTCATAGTCTAATGGTGATGGACTGCTGATGTGAGGGCTGCACCCATCCTGAGGTGGGTGGCTTGTGTACAGTACAAGACAGGGAAAGTGGCTTTCTTCTCCCCTTTCACCCTTGTGCTCTGGTCACTTCTGGTACCTTCTGCAGCTGCCATGAACAGTTGTCCCGCAGCCATGGCACCATGCCTTAGAGTCAGTTGAGTATTTACTGGAACCTCCAAAAACTATAAGCTAACTAAACCTTTCCTTCCTTCATTTTGGATGTCAGGTATTTTGTCTCAGCAATGAGAGAAAAGTAACCAAGACAGACTCTCCAGTGGGAATGTGTGGAGGGCCACCTGGATAAATCGCCTTGGAAGAGCATTATCTCTATTTTGGCTAAACCTGGCCCTATTTCCATATATTAAGAAGTAAACAGCTGGCTAGGATTTTTCCTTATCTGTTCAGGTGGCTTTAAGTAATGCAAATCTGTCTGGCTGAGGTGAGATGCACCGTCTTTGAAGCAAGGTAAGTCAGCGTTTTCCCATCTCCATAGCTTCCAAAACACATGTGAGCCATGCAGAAAGAAGAGCCACGTTCCACACTGGCAGCTAGGATCGAGCCTCAAGAAAAAGGCTATGACTTCCCAGGGCATAAATGATCACATATCAGAGCTAAAGCACTGACTGCAAAACATTAGATACTACCTTGAACTGTGTGATGCAGATTACACATTCTTCAGATGTGTCTCTCTGCATATTTCAGAGGTAATTTCAAGCCAGTCATCTAGCCTAGCTCACAGTCGTCATGTGTTTTCTGCCCTTCTCAGTCATTCATCCTCGAGCCACTCCTTTCTTCACAAATGAATCAAACCTGGGTTCGGCCCTGAGTCGAGGCCTTTGTTCTGGTGAACCTTCATCTCAGCTGGACTTAGGATCTCCCTGGCTCGCCATAACTATAAATAGGTCTTAGTGTTTGTATTCTCCCTATGGGCTGCACTGGAAGTGGTAGATTGGAACGAACTCAGTAGAACACCAATAGTTTTCCATGGGATTACAGATATAAACTTCCTGGACTGCCACAGGTTGGAGGAGTGCTCTCTATAAAGAAAGTAGGCTAACGAGGCCACTCTGGGAAGGGACGGGAAGCTGAACTATCCTGATAACCAGGTCTCGGCCCTGAGCTTTTGGGCCAGTAAGAAGTCTCCAGCTTTCCCTGAAGAAGCCCTGGACCTTCATCCCTCCTTACCTTATCTCAGAGTGAGGGGCTCAGGCAGCCCCTCATGTTCTACACGGCACATGTAATTCTGCTCCTCTCCTGGAGGCACCACCACAGCCACCCACTTCTGGAAAGTTCCATTCCCATCAGGCCTGGTCTCCACCAGCTCCATGTCTTGGGTCAGCTCCTGCCCATCCCGCTGCCAGGTCAGGGAGATCTCCTTAGGGTAGAAGCCCAGGGCCCAGCACCTCAGGATGACCTCTTCCCTGGAGATGAGATGGTGCGTCACATGTGTCTCTGGAGGATCTGAGGGGAACAGGGGAAAATTCGGGCACTTTGCATTCTTCCTGGGTCACTCCAGTAAAGGCTCATGTGACCATCCTGTGAACAGACCGGACAGGTGGAGCTGGGGAGACTGCAAGCCCCAGAGACCGGGTTGGACACAGGCATCTGGGATAATCTGTTCCTTAGACAGTTCTAGATTTAGCCCAGACAGATCTAGATTCACGGTGAGTCAGCCCAGAGGAGTAAGCCCCAGGTGTCTGGGAGGGGAAAGGGACCTGGGCCCTGAGTGGGTGGAGACCTAGAGACTGGAATAAGTGGGGTCAGAGCTCCACAGACACTGGGTGTGGGGCAGAGAACAAGCCTGAGAGAGTTCAGGTTCACAGCCTCCTGAAGGGCAGGGTGAGCGGCATCTCAGGGATCTTCCCCTCCCATGAGGGACAGACTCTTCCTCTCCTGAGAGAAGGGGACTCAGGGGGGCGATCTGCTATCAGCTGTGCAGTCCCCGGGGCGCTCTTCCCTAGGACACGAGAGGGCAGCAATACTGGGGAAGGGTCCTGTTTTCCTCTCAGGGAGATACTCACGCAGCCAGAGCGCAGAAGGGGAGGTCCTCAGGGCCGGTACCTGCACGCTGCAGCGTCTCCTTCCCGTTCTTTAGGTATCTGCGGAGCCACTCAACGCACTCCTCCTTCAGGTAGGCCCTGTATTGCTCTGCCACACGAGCCTCCACCCACTTGCTCTGTGTGATCTGAGCGGCTGTGTCTGCCGCGAACCAGGAGCTCAGGTCCTCAGAAAGGGCGATGTAATCTTCCCCGTCGTAGGCCAACTGCTGGAAACCGCGTAGGAAGCGCCCATCCGTGCCGACTTCACAGCCATAAGTCTCCTGGATGGTGTGAGAACCTGGCCAGTCCCGCCCCCACCCCGCGAATTTGACTCTCAAACTTAAATTAAACCCGGGTCGCAATGCCCGCGGGTTTCCAGGACCGAGGTCTCCGCGGGCTTTGTAACCTCTGCGAGAACCTCGGACCTGGGCACCTGGGAACATTGGGGCCGTCGGCGGGGGCGGGAAGGGGCCGTGACCTCTGACCCGGCCGGGGTCACTCACCGTCCTCGCTCTGGTTGTAGTAGCCGCGCAGGGTCTGCAGGTTCCCTCCGTAAACCTGTGCACGGATCTTGGCTTTCTGCGTCTCTCTGTCCCAATACTCCTGATCCTCCCGCTCCATCCACCGCACCCGCGGCTCCATCCTGGGATCCGCAGCGTCGCCGTCGAAGCGCACGAAGCGCACGAACTGCGTGTCGTCCACGTAGCCCACGGAGATGAAGCGCAAGTCCCCGCGTCCGGGCCGGGACACCCCGATCTCGAAGTAGCGCAGGGAGTGCGAGCCTGCGGGGCGGGGCGGTGAGACCGCGACCTCCTCCCGGCCCGCCCCGCCGCTCCCGCCTCCCTGCGCCCGCACTCACCCGCGCGGGTCTCGGTCAGGACCAGGGCCCCCGACAGCAGCAGGAGGAGGGTTCGAGGCGCCATCCCTGCAATCCGTTGGAGTTGAGCTCTAGAGTTTCCAGCGCCTGTTGAGCACTTTATAACCGGAACCGCGGCGACGCTGATTGGCTGCTCTAGGAGCCCCCAACAAATGGACGTGAAAAATGGACCTGCGTCACCAGTATCCAGGTAGTAGGAGTCTAAGAAGTGAAACCTCAGTGAGGTGAGGAATCTTTGAGGAGTAAGGTCTTCATGGTGACACCCTAGGGTGTCACCAACAGCCACCCCTGGCTGTATTGGACGTCGCCCCACCCTCTCCAGCTCTGGGCGCTCTCCGTCACTTGGTCTCCCCGGATTCTGCGCAGAGCCTGTGAGACGATCACGTGGCTCGACCCCCTCCTCTCCTCCTCGCGGCCGGGATCGCTCTCCCGAGTCCTTCTTCCTCACTGCCCCCACCCCGGACTCCCCGGAAGGAAACGCGGCCCAAGGAGCACAGCGCACAGGGAGCCTGTCTTGGAGACGCAGGTTTCTGGACAAGCACGGGGAGATGCCCAGAAGACCTGGCAACCGAGTGGTGAGGAGCTGCAGGGGGCGACGCGGGAACGGCCCGGCGTGGCCGGGAGCCCAGGAGGTGGCGCTGTCGCCTGCACACACGCCAGGACCTAAAAGGCTCTTGGGTTTACCCACTGGGCTCAAGGCTTTACCTTCTGGCATGGTAGATCTGTGCCTCCAGATCCGTGTGCTTTAAAATCAGCTTACTTTTCTATCCCTGCATTTGTCTATATGTGTTCAGGATATAACCAGAAAACAGTAGGGCTCCCATTTCCACAGAGTAGAGACTGTAAGATCCCTGAGGGTGCCTGAAACCGCGTAGCACGATACGTATAGCACGTGGCTAGGTGTTTTTCTAGAATATTGACATGTAATGTTTATCATAGATATCTATAATAAAGATAATTCATGTATTGGGAACAATAAAAAATCAACAGTAGTAATAAAGTAGAAAAATTGAACCATACACTGTAATAAAAGGTGAAATATGATATTTCTTTGTTTCTGTCTCCCCCCCCCCACACACACACACACAAACAGCTATGGGTTAATGGAGCAGAATAGAGCATGAAGAAACATCCCGAGGCACATTCAGCCACTGACCCCTGACAAAGGGGCCACAAACCTGTGCTGGAGGAAAGTTCACCTCTTTAATGGGGACAGCTGGCTGTGCGCAAGCAGAAGGTTCAGTCTAGACTCATCCCTCAGCGTGCACTAACATCAAATCAGTATGGGTCAAAGATCTCAACGTTAGCACAGAGACACTTCATCTGCTGGAGGATAAAACAGGAAACACTCTTGAGACACAGGCATAGACAAAGACTTTCTAAAAAGATCCCCAGACACACAAGAGATAACACCAAGAATCAACAAATGTGATCACATCCAACTAAAAATCATACACAACAAAGAAAGCAACAAACATTGTGAAAACAGCCTACAGCATGGCAAAATGTTTTGTAACTGTTCCTCAGGAGTAAGAGCTAAAAAAAAAATTAGACACCCCTCAAATAAAAGACCCTATGGTTAAAGGAGTAAGCGAAATGAACAGACACTTCTCAGAAGTACAAGTGGCTCTAAAATACATGAAAAAACTTACAAGATCTGCACTGGAGAAATGCAAATTGAGGCAACAGAGATGCCATCTGGCTCCAGAAAAAAGGACTAAGGAAATGAGTAAAGTGGGAGTTTCCGAAATCTAATTTCCCACATCAAAGAAACAGTGAGCAGAGGGAAAGTTCCTACTTGCAGGTCTCCCAGGTGTTGCTATCAAGAGTACAGGGCGGCCAGGACAGATGGAACCTCAGAGAGGCCAAAAGCTCCCTCCTGTCCTCACCGCCCGGTGGAGGATATTCAGCGAGTAATTATGAAAATTTATATTGCTGTACCATGAATAATATTATAGCATTACAGTGACTCAGTGTCATAACAATACTGTTTAAAACAAAATGCTATTTTTAAAAGAGGTGTTGTGATGGTTGATTGTGTCAACTTGAGAATTTAGTTAAGAAAAAGTTTACTGAATCAGCTCAGCAATTCTCCACCTAGGGTGTTGAGAGTCCCCTCCCAGGGCCTGAATGGTACAAAGGGGAACAAAGAAAATGGGTCTGCTTCTGTTTTTCAGAGGAGCTCCTGTGTTTACCTTCAATTGGACAGCATCTCCTGGCTCCTAGTGCTGATCCTGTGGCCTGTCTGGTTAGAGGGGTCACTCTTTCATTGCAGACTCCTGTTAAGGACTTGCCCAGGACACTGCAGTGAGCTGCAGGTCTTGCACTGAAGACTTTGGCCTCCACAGCGCAGACACGCTCCGCACGCTTCCTCATCTGACTCCTTTGGTGAGCACTCTAAGTCAATCATGTAAATTCCTATATGTTTGTATATCTCATACTATGTCTGTTTTGCTAGTAAACACTGGTGCATACGGATGCATAATGAAGTATCTGAGAAAGTTAGCCTCAATATTAACACCAATTTTCAAATGTCACAGCAAAAATCAGAGAACTATAACTTATTTATATACATAAACCAAATGTGAGAAAACACTAAGATAATTAGATCCATAGTAGCTGTTGTACTAGTCTCTCACGCTTAGGAGTCTTGGAGCTCTCATCACCAGGCAGGGGGCAGGGAGAGAGTAGCAGATCAGGTCCTGTGATCCCCACACTGCAGTGGCCTAAGAGAGGGAAGATCCAGGAGCTGGGGAGGAAGCAGGAGAGGAGACAAGTGGGGGTGAGCAGAGCCTGTGAGGATAAGGGTGCAGGACCCTGGGAGCCCAGAGCCAGGCAGGCAAAGGACACAGGGGGCCAGTCCTGGTGGATGCAGCAGACAGTGGGCTGGGCGAGGCTGGACACTGGGCCACTTCCTAAAGGTCCACAACACCTGTCAATGCTGCCACCCCTCAGGACCAAGCCTGTCCCTACGGATCTATAAGTGACACCAGAAGCAATAGCAGACTGTGTTGTGCATGGGAGTGTGTTAGTCTGGAGGACATGCATCCATTCATTTATTTGCTCGATAAATATTTAAAATCAACAACCAGGAATCTTATCTTCCAGAGGAATGAAACTACTTACAATAAAGTGTTTTCTCTGTTACGCAAAAAGGGCTGTGAGCCAAACAGTGGTGGAGGGAGGTGCCACAGGAGATGGGGATTCCAAGAAGGTGCCTCATAAAAAAGTGAGGTGACACCAGGCATATTGATTGCTTGGAGATGAGTCCTCAGGGAGGGAGCAGTTGTTAGGTGTGAACCTCTTATTGGGCTTGAGGAGGAACTCACTGATGTCTTGAGCCCTAGCCCACCACAGGCCACATTTGTGTAAAGTGGGCGGTATAGGGACAGGATCTTAAAAATAGCCAGCATGTTTCAGGGAACATGCCTTAGAAAGAGCCCACTACACAGCTTCAGGGATTGCCAAGGGGAATTTTCCTCAGGCCTGGGTCCCTGCCAGAGATGAGTGGGCGGCAGTGTCTTGTGCACCCCTGAAAAGCAGGACTGATAATGTTCTCCTAACTGCTCCATCCAGAGGAGCCTGGGAAATGGGGAGCAAAGGAAAATGCTTGCACTCTGGAGTGCTCTGTGGGGCTATCATCTGGGGCATGCAAGGAGAAAGCAGAGAGGAGCCTGGATATCAGGAAGGACACAAGGGACCATGCGCTCCCCTCTCCTTTGTCGTTGGTTACACCTGGACCTGAATACCACACATGTAAGGCTCTCAGACTTCCTTGTCCTCCACAAGAGGCCCAGCCACAGGGTTTCTGTGCCTGACTCTGGCTCAGCCCCTCCCAACTGCTTAGGGCTATCTGATTCCTAGTTGTACAAGTTCCAAATGGCCACAAAATGTTTTGAAGGAAAATGTGGCAAAAAAATTTACATTTGATTAAATTCTACTTTTAAAAAGATAAATACATTGATATAAAACCAAATTCATTATCTCTTCAAAGCAGTCTTAAAGTGTTCTTAAAATTCTTTTCAACTCTTAGTAATATTTATGAAAAAGTAGTTGAAAATAAAAATATTTTGCTTTAGCATGAACATTTCTTGTGTTTACTGCAATCTTCATGAAGTCTTTTTTTTTATTTAAAGAAAAGGAAACGAAAAAAAATACATGGAGATTTTAAAAAAGGGTAGAAATAATACAAAATTACAGACAAACAAAAGGTAAGAAATTGCCGGTTGATAAGTTACACATTGTTATCTTCGAAATAGCTGTTCAGGTTATAGAATTAAAGTATTTAGAATTCAGGTATTAAAGTATTCAAAAAAGTGACCCTACAAACCCTTCTGCTCTATGATCGAACAAGAGCTTAGTAATATAATTATCAGTCCTACACATTTGTTTTACATCTCAAAGAGGGTAAGATTAACCGTATCAAAACAGAACAGAACATTAAAAAAAAAAACAATTTAAAGAAATACAGATTTCAAAGCAAGTCCACTGGAGATCTTCATTATCTAACTGTCTCTAGCTTCTTACAAATAGTTGTCCCTATCTTCACCCACTTTATATACTTATTGCATATTATAGAACTAATCAAATCATTACAGTATGATGAAGTCTTTTTCGGTCCTCAAGTTCCAAATTAGGGAAGATAATAGCAACTACCATCGCATCTCTCATTCTCTTTGTGATAGCCGTCCCCATCTCTGCATATGCTGAAGTTGGACTGAAGAAACCAGTCCAATGTCATTCTAATCAGCAAACAATAGATTGCTAGAATTTATAATATAATGCTACAAAATAAGCCTAGGGTTTCTCAGCGTCTCTTCAGAGTATTTGTTCCTTACATCTTGCATTATATAATCTGTTCCCGTAAATAATTTAAGAAAAAAAAACCCATGTGTGAATTTCTACCTATATATCTATCCTCTCTGTATTATAGGGAAAACCAAATCATAGCAAGACAGCAAAACAATTTCCTAGAAAAACATGCAATGGATAAGACATATAAAACTACAATACAAATGATCTTCCGTAGCTACTATGTTTTCTCTTGTTATTTTCAATAGATTTGTCCACAACACTGGCTTATTATAGTTAAACATACTATCACCTATTTTTATAAAAACTTAACTTTGACTGCATTGTAGGATTTGAGAGCTGTTACTGATTCATACCAGTATGGATATCCTTTACATCTTGTCACGCTCAGAGTAGTTTCCTCTACTTTTAGGGTTGATTCTAACAAGCACAGCAATTTCAAATAGAATCAGTCAAGGCCAACCAATAGTGTTATGATTCAGATACAATTAAGATCAGTCACAGTAAGACAATGTAAGTAATACAGGATTTCAGCCTAAGTCAATAGGAAAGTAAGGATAGTTACCATGATATAACCTGCTATTTTTGGTTCTAGAGGTCTGTGTCCTCAAATCTGACATGAGTGGACAGACCAGAACAAATTAAATTCAATCTAAATATGGCACTAGGACTACTGTGTCTTTTAAATCATTATACACCATTAGCAATGACCTCTGCTTTTTTAAAAATATAGTTTCAGAGCTGTCTATACTAAAGACTAGCTTACCGTCTCTGCCTCATGTCTGCTACTCCACTTTTCTGCTATAATTTGTCCACCTTATTCCCTCATTCCATTGTCTGCCCCATTCACTGAGGCCTCTCTGCCACTGTTGCTGGAATCCTGATATCTCTTCCTCTCTTTCTCTGTAATGTCCTTCAGCGCTCTCTGTAGGGTTGGATTGGTGGCCACGAACTCCCACAGTTCCTCCTTGTCTTGAAAGTATCTTATTTCTTCATTAATTTTTAGAGAGTTTTGATGGATATATGAACTTTGGTTGCATATTTTTTTCTTTCAGGACTTGGAATATTTCTTCCCACTCCCTTCTTGACTTAAGAGTTTGTGTTGATAAGTCTGCTGTTATTTTGATAGATTTCCCGTTATAGGTAACCTGCATCTTTTCTCTGGCTGCTTTTAATATTCTGTTTTTTGTTTTTTTTTTGTGGATTTCTGGGATCTCAATTATTATATGTCTAGGCGTAGATCTGTTTTGGTTGTAGGTAGCTGGTGTTCTGTATGCTTCTTTTATCTGGATATCATTCCTTTTTGCTATACATGGGAAATTTTGCTTTAATATATCTGTGAATATTTTTTGTATTTCATTTTTGGATGTTCCTGCTTCCTCACTCACATTCTTTATTCTTAGGTTATGTATCTTTTTGTCATCTTCCAGTTTTAGAATTGCTTCTTTCTGGTTCCTTGTTATTTTTAAGAGGCTTTTTCTTTCACGTTCATATGCCCTAAATCTCTCTTCAAGTTTCAGAAGGCTGTCTTTAGTTTCTGTCAAGGCATTTTGCCAATGTTCAATGGAGTTTTTAGTTTCCTGATATTCTCTTTGGGTCTGTTTCATGTATTCTAAGTTATGCTTAAATTCTTATTCAGATGCTTCTCTTTCTTTTCTGATTTCCTCAGTTCTTCCATCTGTGTTCTCTTGGGTGGGGCTTGTCATTTCTTTAATTAATCTCTTTATATCTTGCCTCACTTGGATCAGGAGTACAGCTTTAAATTCCTCTATGAGATCATGTAGATACTTTTTAATTTCGGCTGATGCTGTGTCGAGTAGTGGACGGTTACTGTGCTTGTTCTCTTCAGTGTTTAGTTCTCCTGGGCTTATTTTCTCCTGTTGGGCAGCTGGAAATTTTTTTTTATTTTTATCTCTTGTCATGTTTCTGGTTTCTTTCAGACTGTCCTGGAGTTCTCTGGCCCTCTCCGAATTGCTTAGGGCCTTTCAGAAGCGTGCTGGCTTGAGTTTTTGCTGTCCTCCCCAATTTACTGTTATCTGGGGTAGGCTGGGATGCAGGGGCGGTACAGGCTAGTCTCTAGCCTCTGTGTCAGTTAGTTCCTAAATTAGGCTGTACTTTCTGGTTGTCACTGAGTTGTGACTATTTTGTATCCGCTTATTGAGCCCCAAGCAGAGGCTTGGTTTAGCCCCAGTAGCTCCTGCCAGTTCTCTTTGTACCAGAAGCAGCTGAGTAATGTCACTATGGCACAGGGTTCTGCCCAAATCCCAGCCGTTCTCTTCCAATCCTCTCTGTGACAGGAGCACCAGAATAGCAGATCTGCCCAAAACCAAGATGTCTCCCACTAAGTTCTCTGTGTGGAGCTGAAGCCAGCAAGTAATCAGGCTCTGCCAGGATTGAAGACGTCTTCCACCAGCCCTCTCTACAGGGGGACCTGGTGATGTAAACCATGCTGCAGTTTCTGCCGCCAGGCTAAAATGTCTGCACCAGACTCTGTGTTATTGATTTCCTCGTGGTGGTGGGCCAGCTGTTCTCTGGCCAACCCCAGCAACCACGGGGTTCCCAGTATTCACCAGAGTCCTGTACAGGTCCTCATTCCGGGACCACCGCACACCAAGCTGCCCACCTTTCCCGCACTCCCGGCACAGCGCGGAACAGTGCACAGTGTGCGCTCCCGGCACAGCGCTGACCGGTCAGATATCTGTGCACCGTTTAGATTTGAAACGCCAGAGCTTTGCACATCCGCTCTGGTACAGCGGTGCAGTCCTGGCTGCTACTTGGAGTCCCGGCCCGGGTCTCAGTTTCCCGCAGTCCCCAAAAGCAACTCAGCTTTTCCTGCTGGGTCCACGCGTCAGTTTGTTGATTTAAAGGTGCGGGATTTGCAGCCTCCAGTTATCAGCGTTTACGGTCTCAGCACGACTTTAAATCCTCCAGCTGTACTGTCTTGGTTAATAAGAATCGCTATCGATTTGTCTGGCCCTCTCCATGTTGTCATTTTTAGCTTCTAGTATGTATTCTCCGGAGAGACTCTTCGCTCGATCCCCTAGCAAGCCGCCATTTTGAAGCCTCCTCTTCATGAAGTCTTCATCCCTTAGGAAAATTGAGTCTTAATTTGTTTTTGTTTTTCAATCTTTTAAATGATCACTTTATAACTCTGGTTAAATCTGGCTCATAACTGATAAAGTGAACAACTACTAACAATCCTATTTGAGATCATATGAGCCTATAAAACAGCTTAACAGTCTACTACGGCACCGTGAAGGTTACTATTCTGCAAAGCTGCATGCAATGGGAAGGAAGTAGATGGTTTTAGGAGTCGCTAAGCTCTCATCAAAATCTCAGGCACGATTGTTCTGTCTTCTGTTACTGTTTGAGTTTTCTCTAAAGCGTTCACACTGTAGGAATGAGGTAGCCATTGTGTTGCCGTGCCCAAGTAAGAGATGGTTTTGTTTAAGAACCTTCGGGTAAAGAGAGTTTCCAGGAACTGACTTTAGGCTGAGAAATAAGGAGGGAGTGAGCCGGTGTCTGCTTCTCAATGCTTGGGCATTGTCATCAGGATGTGATAGGAGGATGCAGGGAGGAGATCACATACTTGCAGAGGGCACGCGGGTTCCTCTGCAGCGTCCATTCCCTTGTCCCTCACGGAGCCCAAGGAACCTCCACATCTCCAAGCAGGACCTCGCCCAAGTTGCTGAGGCAGGACTCCCGGTCGGCGCAGCAGCGCCACCGTGTGGCCACAGGCCTGAGCAGAGAAAATCGGCTCCCAGGTCCCCTTATCACAGGGACCAGATTCCCACCAGGCCAGGACTGTGCACACCCTGGCATGACACTGTCTCGAGTCAGGTTAAAGGTACCATTGTGTCCTGAAATCTGCCATGATATACATGTTTCCTGTTCGCTGAGAGCAGAGTGAGGTCTCCAACCCACAGGAGCTGGTTTTCAGGTTCATGAACCCACACGCAGAGTCTCCTGGAGGGGACCTAGAACTAGGTTTTGTCACTTGATCCAGCTGCTCCCTTTAGGCCTGGCCCCATCATATGCAAATCAAGCCAGTGGGTCTCTCACCCTGGGGTCCTGGGAGGAACCCTGGGATCTGAGTTCTATACATAGAGAGTCTCCTGTGGAAGGGTGGATAGCAAGGAAATAGGGCCATGGTGGACGGTGGCTCAAAGGTGGGGCATGAGTAGAGCGAGGAAGGAGGGTGACCTGGGAAGGAATGGCCCCCTGTGAATTGTTGGAGGGGGTCTGCATCCTGGGCCATAGCAAAAGGATGGCATCCATGCCACTCTTGTATGGACCCTCCCTGCTCCAAAATTCCCAAGCTTTGGAGCCCCATAATCTAGGATAGGCTCTCACACATGTGGGGGTCTAACACTGGGTGGCTGCTGTCACAGGCCTCTGATCTCACTTCCTCCACTATAATAACTCAAGCCCCTGGGCCAGAGTGAGGAGCCCTGAGAAAGGAGCACTGGACCAGCAGTTCAGGGAAGGACTTGGCCACCAATTCCCCACTTTCCAGGTTCCAAGGATCCCCTGCTCTGTCTTGGCTCACAGTTCCTGGGCCTTGAGGTCTCCCTGTTTCCCTCAGGTGACCCAAATCCTCACACTGAACCACGCAGGCCCCATGCTGTGACTGCCATACCATTAGCTCAGGACCTATGTGGCCTGACAGCAAAGCTTATTCCCGCCACGATGCAGACAAAAGAGTTCACGCATCCACAAGCCTGAAACTCCCACCCTACAGCTGCACCACGGCTGTGTTCTGGGCAGCAGCCACCCACGACCCTGTCACCTAGAGGTTCCCCTGCCAGACCCACGACACATCCGAGGCCTGTGGGAGTGAGGGGCAGCTGGTCCACCGTGCTTATGGAGCAAGACCACAAGTTTGGGGGACACGGGCATCGCGCCCGCTGTAGGCTTAGAAAACCAAGACGAACTGGTGGGTACCGACACACACCCCAGAAAGATGGATCACAAAGTTCTTAAGTAGAAATCCAACTCCCGTTGAGACTGTACTTGGAAATAGAGACATTAAGGGTGCTAAATAGAGACGTCGGGGCTAAATGGCGTCTTAACAACATAGGACTGCTATTTATAACAGCAGGAAGAAGCATCAGAAAAGTCACTCTCTCTGTCAGGTCTGTCTGCCGCTACTCTTCCCCACCTCAGGGGGAGGTCTCCAGCTAGAAGTTCTCCCTTGGCTCCAATTCTGGAGGATTCGAGCGTCTTTCTACTCTGTGCACACACCGGTCTCAGTACCACTGCTGCGGCGCTGCCGCCGATGGCTCAAAACAAACCCTTCCGCGAGGAGACGCCGCACAAACTGCTGTAAAGCAGCGGTGGGGCCTGCGGTGTTGGACGGGGACTCCGCGAGCCCCATCGCGCCCTCCGCTGGCCACGGGGGAAGCGCGGCGGAAAGTAACAGAGGGGCGGGAGCCGGAGCGCTGGCGGCGGCTGGGACGCGGCGGGACCCGGCGGCACCGAGAGCGCAGCCGCGCGCGTCCCCGCGGACCGAGAGGAGGCGCCGGGCCGGGGCGGGGCGGAGCGGGAGCCGCGGGGTCGGCGAGAGGCGCAGGGCGATGAGGAAGACAAGCAATAAGGACCGCGCCCCGGACGCTGGCCGTCAGAGACCCCGACCTCGGCCTGCAGCTCGGGTGCCGCGCGCTCCCGGCCCGACCCGCACGGGCCTGCGGCGCCTAGTCCGGGCGCTGCTCTTCGCCTGGCTGAGGTGAGCGCGTCGCTGAGCGGATCCAGTCAGCCCGGGCCGGAGCCTCCCAGATGTGACAGCCTGCGCCGCTGGCCCCGCCCACGCCCTGAGCGCCGCTTGGCGGGAACTAATCGCCCCCAGCCCCGCCTACCCTCTGAGCGCTGATTGGAGGAATTCCACCCCGAGAGACTCTGTTTCTTGTTCACTCAGCGCGGGAATTCTAGACAGAAACTGCCGGGCCACATCCGCAGCCCCTGAGGCCTGAGCCGCTGGGTCGTCCGCACTCCGACCCCACCCGCCCGTGAAGTCTCTCACGCCACCAGTCAGGCCCGCAGTGGCCCCAGCCTTCCCGCCCTGCGCAGGCCGCCCGTTGCTGCCGCCTCGGGCCTCTCCTCGCTGCAGGCGCCTCAGGCCTCTTCTCACTGTAGGCCTCTTCCAGGAGGGAGCACTGAGTGCGTGGAGCCGGCGCCGCGCTAGGCCGCCCTCGGAGGCTCCCCGGGCCCATCCTAGCGCGGGCCGGACGCCTCGGATTCCACACCACCGTTGGCTCCGACTCCACAGCCCCGTCAGCTCCGAACTTCTGGCTCCGCGGTTGCTTCGGGTCCGGCTCTTCAGGCAGCTCCTGGCTGGTGTCGTCGAAAACTGTAGTGGATGTGTGGAGCTCAGGGCTCCCAGCGCCTCCTGCTATAGAATGGGAGGGAGCCAGCTGGTGAGGGGAATGAGAGAAAAAGAAGAAAAGGAGAGGGACCGTTTATCGAGGAAAAGGGAAACAAAGGAGAAGTCAGCGTTTATTGAGGAAATGAGAAAAAAAAAGAAAGAGAAAAGCCAGAGGAGATGAAAACATGAAGAAATAGATAAGATGTGTTCTGCATGTAGGAAGGGTAACCGCAAGAGCAAAGGGGCAGTAGCACAGAAGTCAAAGGCTGTGGTCATTGTATCTTTCTATGAAGTCACACCTGAACTGCCCGCTGATCTGCGTGCTTGCCATGATTGACACATCACATTCTGGATTCGCAGCTGTGATTGGCCGACACTTAACAGCCCTTTGAGATGGACAGTTTACGCCCAATGAGTCTGTCTTTTTCCCCTGCCCTAATCTGCCTCAGGTCAGATCAGGGGTGCACTAGTCAGGTGTGTGATTCTAAGCCGAAGGTAGCAAAAATGTCCTTTCTTGTCTTGCACTGCCAGGCTCCCTGCTGTGGAGACCATTCCCCTTTAGACCTGAGCTCCCTTACCTAGATCTCTGTCAAGGCCAGGACCCTCAAGCACCAGGGGAAGAGTTCAGGGCTCCATGCCCTCCATAATTTTACAGTGATTCTGATCGGCTTGTCTAGGCATCCGATCCCTAAGAGGAGTGGCAACTTGGGTTGCCTTGTGAGTGAAGGACTTTATACAAGTTGGAGGAGGAAAATGTGAAACTCCGGAGAGATGAGGAATTGCCAGAATGGGTCTTCCCTGAAAGGTTTGGCCCAGACAGGACACTGTAGCCAGGAAAGCCACAACCGGAAGCAGGAAGCCCCATCTTGCCCTGCCCCTAGGAAGTTACCTGTGACGCCATCTTCCCGCCCCTGGGAATTTACATATGGCGCCAAACCTAGGACCAATGGGCTACCTGTGTATCCCTAATGCCCGCCTTAGGTTCCACCCCAAACCGAGGTTATTTACAGGCCCCCACGCCGCGTGTCCACCGGAGAGATCGCCGGACGCCAGCGGTGGGGGTTGCCGGTCATCTCTCTCCGTGTTCTCAGAATAAAGGCCGCTTTTTATTTTATATTTCTCATCTTTTGTTAATATTTTTCATCTTTTGGAAATAACTCTATCATTTGTTGCCGTGACTCGATCGGCAGGCAACTAACTCTTGGGCCACATACCCAGCGTTTCCTCGCCGATAATCAGATAACATCCTGGATTAATCCCGAGCTTTTTCCTCTCCCGAGACGTTCCTGTCGCCAGCTGCCTGCACTCCGCATCGGCCAGACTGATTTCAGGTGAGCACTCCCCGGGGAACTTTTGGCACTGGGCAGCCCCAGTCAACTGTTCTCCCCGTCTGCGTGGGTCTGTGCATTTTCACGTCCTTAGGACCGCCCAGGACAGGGTTCTTTCTGGGCAAACCTGCGCCCACAAAATCTCTCACGTTCTTTGGGTTCGGATAGCCCAAAGCAGAGATTTTTGGGACCGCCCACACTGAAAGAATGCCTCACTTCCCTTAAAGCCTTGCGCTTTCACGGGCAAAACTGTTACTGATCCCACGTAGACTCCATTCGTAAATCTCAGTGACGACTGGAGTTTACGGTTTGGAACCGTTCCACCGCGTGGTACCACAAATAAGTGACGACTTTTTTCTGGACCTCCGGTTTTTTTTTCTTGCCTGAATCAGTCATGGGGAACGTATTTTCTAACTCCCAAAAGACGCCTTTAAAATGCCTAATTTCCAATTTACGTACTCTAAAACTTAAAGGTACCATAAAAACTAAACAACTAACTTTTTACTGCCAGGAGGTCTGGCCAACCTACCCGCTTATCGGCAAGCCTTGGCCTCGGCAAGGAACATTTGACCCCTGCATTCTCAGGAACTTGTATGATTTTTGTCAAGCTGGCAACAAGTTATTAGAACTCCCTTATGTCCAAGCCTTTCTTATTCTGAGAACACGCCCATCTCTCATTAAGTCTTGTGCTCCAGCTGAGATACTTTTAGCTAAGTCTACTGCGCCGCAAACTTTTCCGTCCTGCTCTCCGTTGTTTTCCCAGCCGCCTCCTGCCTACCACCAAACTCGTTCCCTGCCGTTGTCTCCCGCCGGACTGCTCTCTCCTCCCCCTATGCCTGATTCTCTCAGCAGCTCTAATCCCTCTCCATTGCAGATACCTCCCACTGTACGATCGTCTCCCTCTCCGCCTTCCAGGACCCATAACTCTCCCAGCAGCTCTAATCCCTCTGTGTCGCAGTTACCTCCCGATGTTCCATCCTCTCCCCCGCCTTCTCCTGGGACCCATAACTCTCCCAGCGGCTCTGAACCCTCTGTTAGTGCTTCCTCTCAGTCTCTGACTTCTCCTGAGAATTCTGTATCCCCTACAGCATTCTCACCGCCTGCCCACCATACTAGGTCTTGGTTGCTATGTCCTTCCAGCAGGTCGCGTGATTGTTCCAGCTTGCGCGGGGAACAGTCGCCATGTTGCAACCCTCTGCCACATGGCATGGCGCCGCCATGTTCCGGAGGGCCACATGGCGACAGGGCGCCGCCATGTTTCGGGCCACGTGACAGGGCGCCGCCATGTTTTGGGTCACGTGACAGGGCGCCGCCATGTTTCCAGGACCCTTACTGTCAACAGGCGTCTCCTTGTGGCTCCTCTTGTGAACTACAACAGCCGCCCTGTTGCAGTGCACATGACGCTTCATTGTGCTGCCGACAGCAGTCCTCTAGCTGCAAGGCACACAGTGAGATGCCATCTGCTCGTGTTTCCCAGGGTGACCGGCAGCAGCTCTGTAGCCGCTCTACAGATGATTGCTCACATGCGCCTATCGGAAGGATGGCTGCTCAAAAGCCCTCTGCTCCAGAACCTCCTCAGGCTCTGCTACCGCTTCGGGAGCAAGTTGGCCCCAAGGAACTTGTTAACATCCATGTGCCTTTTTCCCTTTCTGATCTATCCCAGATTACCCTTAAATTAGGTAGCCTCTCTGTTGACCCACAGAATTATATCAGACAATTTAAATTCATTACTAATTGTTATGATTTACATTTTAAGGATGTTTATGGGATTCTAAATACCTCTCTCATCTCACAAGAACGGAATCAGCTGTGGCAAGCAGTTCGAGAAAAAGCTGATCACAGACATGAGGTAAACACTGCTGGTAATGACTCTAGGCCTATAGCTGTGCCAGAGCGGGACAAGCATACTAACTATAACAAACTTTTAAAACAGGTCCAGGAGGCTAATCAAAACCCAGCTGTGTTCCTAAATTGGCTTTCTAATCCTCGAGCCCTGCAAGCAGTTCCAGCTTCGCGCGCTGTGTCGGGCCGCCTCCCAGCCCCTCCCCCATGCGCCGTCCCAGCCCCTCCCTCCCCCATGCGCCATCGTCGCCGCTGCCACCTTACACGTTTCCGGGGGATTACAATTCTCAAACCATTTAATCAAGGTTTTTGGCCACCTGATAATTTTACCAGCCTTGTTTATCAATCAAAACCTTCACCAATCTCCTGTTTAACAACTAAGGTAATAAATTTCCTTTTTGCTGGGAACCACTAGCTCTCTTTCAAGACAAGGGTTTTCTTCAAAGTTTTATTTTATTTGTCTTGGTTCATACTACTGCAAATAACAACTTTAAAAGTAAATGTGTTCAGAATTTGACAGTATTAGATCAGTTTTGATTTATTCATAAGATTGCTAAACCTTTACTGCAAAACGTTTCCATTAAAGCCTTGTTTGGCAGACTAAAGCTTTGTTAATTCTACGTGTCACCCTATAAAAAAAAAGTGATATTCCTGCATATTTACTTAATTCTACTATAGTCCAAATCCCAAACAAAAAGACAAAACTTGACCTTCAAACCTTATAGAGATCTTAATATGGTTTTTCATATTTTTAACACTTGTGACACTTGGAGTTCTGAGACAGGCAAAACCTACACAAGGTGGAGCTGCCTGCCCCCTCCATGGACCACGCTCAAATGCAGCAGAAGATACTGGACAAGAAAATGCCCCATCCTGGCATTCTTTGAGACCTTACTCCAGGGCCGCTGGACTGTCCTAGCCACCAGAGAGTGGGTAAGCCATCCTAAGTTCTAGCCCTCACAGGAAATGTCGACACTGCCAGATTCGTCACCGACAGAAAATCGCTGCTGGAGGCTGAGGGGGTTCAGGGCAACAACAGCCCCCTTTAAGGTGTCCGTCTCGGATTCCAAGTCGTACTAAAGTCTCAGGTAAGACATTCTCTATATTTGTGGACATAGAGGCCATATATACAGAGTTCTTCCTGAGTATTCAGGCTGCTATATTAAGTCCTCAATCTCTATGATGGGGTATTGATGGTCAACCTATGCCATTTACAAACAGGGCCTATTTTGTGCAGGTCCCAGTCTTCTCACTTGGTTTATACTTTTTCAGGATGCATAAGAGCCTTTCTCATACTTGCTAAAGTTCTGTTACAGCAAATCATTCCAAGGACAACAACCAGGTTGCAGCGACCCATGTCTAAATCAAAGTTGCTAGACTGCCATCCTGGTTTCACATCACTCAGGCTAAGAGGTGCCCTTCCAGCCCTAAATCTGATCATTCTGAGTGGTCATCTCATCTCCTGTCGCCTACCTGTCTCCGTCTCACAAAGGCCTCGCAGCCACAGTTAACAGGCTAAGTCATGTTTTGTTATCCACTTTGGTTCCTAATTTCTTACATTCTATTAATGATCATTTTTACAGCAGGACTCTTTAACAGTATTGCCTACAGACTCCAATATCATGCATACCAGAGACAAGCCTCACCAACCTACTGTCTTAACTTTTATGCTTTCAGATGGGGGAGTAATCACCTCTCATAACTCCACTCCTCCTAACCCCACGTTTAATTTTCAGAATTCTGCCTTACCTTGGAACATGTCTAAATCAAATGCAGCCTTCTACCTCACCTGGGTCCTTAAATATGACAGTGCCATGTCTCCTCATAACATCTTGTCTCTTTGTTTTTCCAGTCTGACATACGTGCATTCACCAGTGAAGTTGTCCTGGCCAAAACACCTGGTACCAGCGTCTACCTGGGCATCAACCTTCATCCCGTCGACTCCCCTAGGCTCCAGTACAGCGCCCTTTGCCAGCAGGAAGTAGTTAAAGAGAGAAATCTTCGCCCCTTTTCATAATAATAACCATAAGACGGGATATGAAAGGTTTGGCCCAGACAGGACACTGTAGCCAGGAAAGCCACAACCGGAAGCAGGAAGCCCCATCTTGCCCTGCCCCTAGGAAGTTACCTGTGACGCCATCTTCCCGCCCCTGGGAATTTACATATGGCGCCAAACCTAGGACCAATGGGCTACCTGTGTATCCCTAATGCCCGCCTTAGGTTCCACCCCAAACCGAGGCTATTTACAGGCCCCCACGCCGCGTGTCCACCGGAGAGATCGCCGGACGCCAGCGGTGGGGGTTGCCGGTCATCTCTCTCCGTGTTCTCAGAATAAAGGCCGCTTTTTATTTTATATTTCTCATCTTTTGTTAATATTTTTCATCTTTTGGAAATAACTCTATCATTCCCCATCCCAGATCTTGACTTGGAGCTGAGCTTGAGAACCAGGTCCTGGGATCCTGGTACTTGCCCTAACCCCTCTCCTCCTGCACAAACCACTCTTATTTCTATTGTCCCCTGGCCTGGCTCCTCTTCCTTCATTTTTCGATTCCTTCTCCCCCACCTCTTCTAGAAGAAAATTCTCCTTTGGGTACTTGATGGCAGAGAATGAGCTTCCTGTGGAAAAGTGCAGGAAGGACAGTTGTCTCTTTAAACCCTGAAAAGTGCCTGAAAGCTCCATATTGAGATGCTCAGAGAGAACAGTTTCCTTTTGTTAATTAACTACACTGAGTAGCATGATCCTGGTAACTTCTTTCTTTTTTCTTTTTCCTTTTTATCGGTACCAGGGATTGAACTCACTACTGCCTGCTTGCAAGGCAGGCGCTTATGCCGCTGAGCTAAATCCCCAGCCCCTAGCCTGGTAATTTCTAAGTGATTGATCAGGGATTTAGTCTGCGAGGATAATTTTGCCTCTTCATATAGAGATGTGTCCATGGTATCACAGTTGGATGCACAAAGCTCCTCTAAGTTTAGTTTTTCAATACATTATATCACTGACTACTGATTGCATTTTTCAAATGTAGTTTTAGGACAAAGAACTTTGTGAATCATTGGGTTTCGCTGTAGTATTTTCACATATGCATATAACTTTTGGTCATATCCATCCCTCATTACCCATCCTTCCTCATTTCCTGTTATTGTTTTCATCTTGGCTCATAATAGTCTTATTTCTGTTTTCATAGTTTTTGTTTTTAGATTTCATGTATAAGCTAAAATATGGGATATTTATCTTTTTGGGTCTTGCTTTTTTCATTTAACATGATGATTTCCTTTATAGCCAAATAATATATGTAGATATAGATATAGACATAGATATACATATGTTAATTTTAAAATTATTTTCATTGTGTATCCCTGAGTTTCCCATTGTTAAATCCAACTTATATCCGCAACAAATGAATCATGATTTGCTACTGTTTCTTTCATATAGAAAGAATGTGCAAATTTTGCTTAGCTCACAAGTCCAAGTAGTCAATCTGGATAAAATAATGTGGTCAAAATGCACCCTTTGCCTTGACTCCTTTATGAATGTTTACATGATATTACTTTTCTTAAACTGATTAAGATAAAGATGCCATTTGTAGACAGCATCACTTAATGTATTAAATGCCAAATAAAAGATATGCTAGTGGGCTCTGCAGGTACCATAAAACAATACATATAATAGTGAAAATTCCATTGCTTAAGAATTTTTAGTTTTCTTTAAACAATGGTTCTTATCTCTATTTTTACAGTTTAGTTATTATTTAAATTGACAAAACTTATATATAGTTTTTCACAGAACACGTGTTGTAGCTTGTGTTTAGATGTCTCTCAAAACATCCTGTAGTCGAAGATGGGCCAGCCACCTTTAGAGTGTGTGATGCATTGTGCTATGCTGCGATCAAAGATATATAATTATGAAATTAATCAACTGATCAGTTTAATACCACCCAACACCCAGTAATCTGGATAAAATAAAAGGAACAGAAAGACATTGTAACGGCCGATTGCTGATTTGCTACCTTCTGTCTACCATGAACTGTTGCCTTTCTGCCAAGCCACCCTGCCTTGGAGCCAGCCAATTATGGACTCAACCCTCTACAAGTCTTGAGCTAAATAGGCCTTTTCTCCTTGAAGTCTGGGTGTCGAGTATTTCATTTAAGCAACAAGAAAAGTAACTAAGATATATGACTTTCTTATTCCAGACACTCTCTCACTCTGTAATCCAGAGTGGTATTAAACTCACTATGTAGCCCAGATTGGTTGATAACTTACAACAATCCTCCTGCCTCAGCCTCCCAAGTCCTGGGATTACAGGCATGTGCCATCGTGCCTTGCTAACATGATGATCTCTGTTCACTTTGCAGGCTGTCTCCATGGACCTAATTAATGCATGAATTACTATATTTATCTTTTCATGATGTTAAGATCAGTAAAAATATCTTAGTGATTTTCAAGAATATAATATACTGTTATTATGTCTATACAGTAGATCTCTTGGAATTATTTCCCTTAACTAGAATTTTATATTCTTTGACTAGTATTCTCTCAACACCAGTGACCACCTCCAACCCCTGGTAACTACCATTTTTTATTCTCTGTATGAATTTGACTTTAGATTTCACTTAGAAGTCAAGACCTATGAGATTTCTTTGGTTGCCATCAAACCTGCACTCTTTGCTTTAATCTTCCTGGCAGCCATCTGTGTACAGGACAATCACCTATCATCGGAATTTGATAGAGCTTTAGAATTTTTGACCTCTCCTCTTCCTCACCTTCTGCATCTCTAGTCCTTTTGTCTGTCTCTCTTGTCCCAGAGAATCATATTTCCCTGTAGTCCTGCACCCCCACACTCCTGAGTTCCAGTGCTAGCACTGACCTCTCATCTGCTGTCCATGACTATTCCACACAGAGGACTCAACTCTTGTGCCACGGAGTCAGGTGTCATCTCCTCAGTTAAGCACATCAGTGGTTCCAGCTCTCCCCAGAGAATCCTCTAGAGTGGAAGATACTGAACAAAAGAACTTGGGACTTGTTCAAAACTGTAACCTTAGCATATGGAACCACCCCAATGAAAAACCGAATAAATTGTTCTCGAGTGAATGAATAAAGTATGGTTGAAAAAAATTTATATACAAGCAAAAATTTGTTAATATTTTACTTTGTTCAACTAGTATGCATGACAGCTCAAATACTCTCTTCAGGGATACTGGTATAGCCAAGTAATGCAGCTCATGGGTGGTATGTGAAAAGCCATGTCCCATCCCAGCTCTGAAAAGAAGTAAATAAAAATTTAAAAAGAGGGAAAAAAAGAAAAAGAAAAAGAATTCCAATGTCTATCATCAGGGTACTGGCTAAAAACATTTGCATGCCTATATAGGTGGAACACCACAGAAATTTAAAACACACACACACACACACACACACACACACACACACACAGAGGAGCTTCTTGATATTCTTTACTGGGAATTTGTCCAGGTCACATTGTTTGGGGAAGCAAAGCAAGGTGAAGGAAAACATATGGTTTTGATCTATAGTATGTGAAAAGGGGAAAAGAAAAAATGGTTTCAACTATATTTGTTTACATAAATATCAAATATTTTGGGAGGAATGAGAAAGAAATAGGTATCAGAGACTCCCTGTAGGGGAAATGGAAGAAACAAAAGAGGCTTGTTGCCTTTCTGGATCTTTTGAACAGGTCAAATGTTAAATTTCAAAGAAAAAAAAAACAAAAAAGGCAAAGTGAAAAACTTTACGATGAGGGACAGCAGGCAAGGAGAGAGAAAAGAAAGGAAGGTAGCATAGAAGGAAAGAAAGGAGGAAGTAGGGGCTGGGGATTTAGCTCAGCGGCATAAGCACCTGCCTTGCAAGCAGGTGGTCATGAGTTTGATCCCTGGTACCGATAAACAGTTAGGAAGGAGGAAGGTAAAAAGAAAGAGAAGGAAGGATCTAAGAAAAGGAGCTCCTACTTCCTTAAGGTAAAAAGTCTAATAATTATAACATTCCTAAAAAGTGCACATTTACTGTTGTTTTAATTCAACATGTTGTTGTCTTTTAATTGTATTGCCTCTCCTTAGATATCTGTCTTTCATTCACTAAAGGATTTTTAACAACAAGCGTGATTAACAAATGCAATTAACTTCTGGCTGAGTCTTGGGGAAGTAACTCTAGTTAGGAGCAAGGGACCCTGGTTGGGCTCATGTCGCTTTTGTGGCTTCAGCAAGCTCAGAGCATCCTCTGGTGTCACGCGGGCTCCAGGTATACCACGGAGGAAACTACCAGTGCTCCTCCATGACACTAAACTGAAGCCAGCTGCCAACTCCCAGGGGTCCTCATTAGGAGCCCATTGCTTTATCTCTAGTAAGTCTGTGCACACTCCTCACACCATGCCCTTCTGTCTTTGGACAGGAAGGACCCTTGAGCTCCTCCTCACAGCAGAGCAGCAGAGGGCCATGATAGCCAAGTCAGGATCATGAAAGGGGGAAGAAGCAGTGGGGCAGCAGGGTCTGTGGAGCTGCAGGAGCCCAGGGGCTGTGAGGAAGACTGCTTTTGAGTCACACCCTGACCCAATGCTTGCTTCCTCTGTGGAGTATGCCATTCCCTGGATCCCCAGGAAAGCAAACTGTGCATCCTCAAGGTGGGGCAGCTCCTGGGGATGTGGCCCAGTTTGTCCTCTGCCTCCCAGCCCTGTCCCTACCCTCTGCTGACAGAAATAAAGCCAGTTTGGCTGAGCGCAGTGGCTGTCACAGTGTGGTCCAGGACAAGCAGCATGGACATCACTGGAACTTGGGAGAAATTCTGTGTTCAGGCCTGGTGCAGACCCAGGGAATCAGGAGCTGAATTCTTTTTTTAAATGTTATTTTAAAGAGAATAAAAGCAAGCAAAGTAAAACAGAATAAAGCCAATTAAAACAAGACAGTATAAGTGACACAGAATTTCAAAATAATAGGAAATCAATAATAGTTACCATAATACGTCTTATGTCTTCAAAATAGGTTCACATTCTTTCAGACACAGTAAAAGCAAACAAAATAGAACAGAATAGAAGCAGTAAAAACAAAATAATGAATGCAATCCAGGACTTCAAAAACAGACAGTAATAAATCTAAAATGGCTACCATAATGTATCTTATTATCTTTGAAACAGCTGCCCATGCCATCGGACACAAAAAAATGAAACAAACAAAACAGAATAAAATGCAGCCACACAAAACAATGAGAATAATACAGAATTTTGAAACAAGATATTAAGGAATTAACAGTGGCTCCCCGCCTAGAAGGAGACCCCACATAGGTGCCACACTTGCACAATACTGTCCTCTGAGCAGATGATCAGACTACTGGCTTTAGGCCTGCAAAGTCAATGAAACACTAAACACCACAAGCATTAAACTGTATTTTACCTCATTAGGGATCATCACTACCTGTGTTTCTCTGGATAAGCCGCTCACTTATGGTGGGGAGCGGGGGCAGAATTATTGGCTCTTCTTGTCTCCCTGCCCATGCACTGGAAGGTGCTAGCATCTGGCTCTCCCCCAGTCAGCCCACAGTGGCACCGACTTACAGGACGTCTTAGCTTCTGGTTGACTTCTCGGCCTTCTCTCCCACAGCCGCAGAATGGTGCAGACTCATAGGAGTGGGCTGGTGGGATAGTGGTCTGCTGTAGCTATATAGTCAGGGTCAGGTGCCTCAGCTGGCTCAGTGACTCTGTTGCTACTCTGTTGATTCAGGCAAGGGAAGCCCAAAGTGGACTTCTAGTTCTATGTGTGCTCCTGGCAGGAACATGTCTCCCTCCGGAATGGAGACCCACAGGGCACAGAGCATAGAGTTACAGGGACAGGAAGCATACGTTGTGCTAGTGAGTCACTGGTGGTGACAGTGCTGTCACACTCATTCCCAACCTTTGACTGCTGCCTTGGAACAGCTCCATATAATGGACACAGATTTGAGTATCCTCAGCCTCCTGAGGACCTTGCCACAGCCATATGAGGTAGCTGGCGGGGCTGACCACTGGGCCCCACTTCCTAAAGGTCCACAACACTGTCCATGCTGTCATCCCTAGGAACCAAGCCTTTCCCTGAAGATCTTTGGTGACATGGGAAGCAAGAGCAGACTGCGTTGTGCATGAGTGTGTTGGTCTGTGAGGACATGAGTCCATTCATCTTTTCACTGTATGAATACTTCAGGGTTTAACTTGAGTCTATATTCACCAGTGAAGTAGATGAGACACACCTGTGTAAATCGTCTCTGTGGGAAACTGAAAGAAACAACATATGTATATGTGTATGTATATAAAAAGTTAAGATAGTTCTACTACTGATTTCTCTGAGTTCACGGAAGACAAAGGTTTGTGTTGGTGTGGTTGGGCAGTTGAATGCAGAGGTCCTGTGCTCTGGGTGAGTGATTTGGGGAGGACAATGCACAACGTATGTACCATTGCTGTCCCCTGATTTATGTGTTTTGAATGTTTTCATTTTTTTTCTCCTTGAAACAAAATGGACTTGGAAAAAACCCAGATATTTCAAATCATAACCACAAACACTTCAGGGCAATGGAAATCTAGCTGTCACAATCATAATTTCTGTGCTTGCCCTCAAGAATCCTATCTTCAAGTGGAAAAAGACTCCTTACAATGATATACTTCCTCTGATAGGAGGAAAGGGCTGTGAACCAAGCGGAGGTGGAGGGAGATAACACAGGAGATTGGGGTGCCAAGAGTGTGCCTAGTAGAAACATGAGGTCACACTAGGCAAGTGAGCCCTGGGAAATGAGTCCTCAGGCAGGGAGCAGCTGTGAGGTGTGAACCTCTGATTGGGCGGGAGGAGGAACTCTGTGAGGCCGTGAGCCCCAACCCACTGCAGGCCACATTTGTGTAAAGTGGTGGTACTTGAACAGGCTCTTGAAACTAGCAAGGGTGCTTCGGGGAACATGCTTCACAAATCACAGTGTAAGAAGGTAGACACCAGCTCCGACCTCCTGAGCACTTACAGAAATGAGGAATTTCCACAGCGCTCACCTAACAGGCTTCCTGTGTAAAATGATGGTGATAGGCTTAGTGTTACTGGTTATATATGGTTAAACCCGTGTTATAATGTTGTCATAAAATGTTAGGAGGAAGCATCACCCCAAAACTTGCCCTGGCTTCTGGAGAGGGAATCAGTGAGTCAGTCTGCACCCAGGAGAGCTGCACCCCGACAGCTGTGACTGTGGACTTGTCTTTGTATCCAGAGCCCACAGAGTTTAAAGAAACATGTTTGTGGTCAAGTTGTCACAGGGTGGATGTGACAGTTAACAGGTTGTGTCAACTTGAGTAAGAAATGCCCGACTGCCTTGGGTCAGCACCGTGCTGAGTGTGGCTGAGGGATTCACTACAGACAGGAGACCCACCCTGGAGCTCCACCTCCTCTTCTCCTGTTTCCCTGCAGAGGACACAGAGCACAGCAAAACAGACTCAGAAAAGGTCTCAGTGCTCCCATTTATTGCTCCCCTCACACACTGGAAATGTTCTTTAATGAACAGGTCAACCACTCGTATCATTAACTTGAAAAACCCAAATGTATATTCTGAGCCTTACATTCAGGATGTGCTATGTGAATTTCCTGGAAACATGTAAAGAAACCTCTGCCTCTGAAAAAGACCAGCTGTCCAGGGCACGACACAGACATCCTCTTGTTACAGACAAAGCAAAACTATTTTTCTAAGCTACTGGATTTATTGTGGGGCTGTTAAAATAAAGGCAGAATCAGAAGCAAGAGGGGTCCTGAGGAAAGCTGTGTGCACTCTGCTCCATCTCATCCCTGTGAGAAGCTGCCCCAGCCCACGCCTGCTGGAACAGGAGCTGAGCAGGAGGGAACACGGGTCAGCGTGGGGACAGGAGTCCTGCTTGCCCAGGGCCGGCTGCTCTCCTCACAGCCCTCCCCGATGCCCACAGGAACATGGACACACTCAGAAGCCATTTTCAGGGAGGTGACTCGGTGATCTTGAGGTCACAGAGCATGGGCTGGAGAAGCGTGGAGTGGCTCAGTCACCCGCAAGGCAGCTGTCTCACGCTACGGGACAAAAGGGTTATAAAGTCAGGGCCACGGCTCCATGTGGCACCATCCTGAGGAGCCCACTGAGAGAGAGGCTCTCTGCACACAGGAGGGGATCTAGACATGGAGGCAGGGGATGGAGCTGAGGGCACAGAGAAGCAAAAAGCAGAGACGAGTTACACATGAGCACCAGCTCCTCAGAGTGAACACAAACACCGGGCACAGCACCCAGGTCCTGACAGACACTAACAGAGGAGCCCGCTGTTCACACACAGGGCTCACAGTCAGACAGGGACCCTGCTGTGTCCCCTCTGCCTCAGCCCATCTCTCCCACTTCAGGCCCCCGGGGTCTCACCTTTACCAGCCATGAGAGAGGAATCAGAGCCCTGGGCACTGTCACCCTCTGGGGAGAAAATGTAACACGACATGGTCAGAGCCCAGCAGACATGGGGAAGGGGATCATGAGGTGGGGATCCCATGGCTCCTGCTACAGAACCCCAAGGCTCTCAGGAATCAGCCCCCCATACTTACTTGCAGCCTGAGTGTAGTTTCCTCCTTTTACACCTGTGAGAAGCAAATGTCCTCCTGTGAGAAGCCAGGGAGGAGGGATGGCCTTGGCAGCCAGGAAGAACTGCCCAGGTCAGGACCTCAGGGAAGTTTCCAGAACTGGGATGCAGACCCAGGGAAGGATCAGAGGCACGAGGGGAGGACATGGTCAGGACCTGCACCAACTGCCCTCCTGAGGCTCTGTCCTAGCAGGGACCTTCCCCTCTGACCTGCCTGCTGGAATCAGGTCCCCATCACCACAGCCCTCTGGGTGACCAATCTGTCCCTCATTGTCCCTGTTTCACAACAGGCTCCGTGTCCAGGACTCCAGGCTGGGCAAGAATGTGTGTGGGGAGGGGGTGCCCCACAGGGTGATGGGGTGTATTTCTTCCTGGGGTGAAACAGGAAGATGCTGACCCCACCCCTACCTGCTCTACTCCTCCTCCATATCACAAAGCCAACTACTCCAGTGAGCACAGCTACAAGGACAATCACAGCAGCAACAACCCCCAGGATGGGGATGGAGGGCTGAGGAGGGGACTCTGGGGAGGGAAGGGGAAGGAAAGGGAGAGAAAAGAAGGAAAGAGGAGGTGAGGGGCTCTGCTTGTATCTAAGTGGACCCCAAAGCCTCATGCAAATGTGGGCATTTGGAAGCTGACTGCACTGTGGGGCTCAGAGCTGACTTGCTGTTAGGAGGTGGGGTCTGGGGGGAAGAGGGGCCCACTGTGGGAGTGGCTTGGTAGGGTTTCTCTCCTTCCTCAGCTCCCCCATTACTCTCTGCTTCCTGTCTGCACTGCCCTGAGCAGCTCTCCATGGCCAGGACCCTCTGCCCTGCAGTGCTGCCTGGGAACAAGCTGAGTTTTAACTGAAATGTTAAAAACTCGGGAGCCAAAATAAATCCTTTCTCCTTTAATTTTTGGGCACCAGGTATTGTGTCCTAGCAATGATCAACATGGACCCTGGCCCCAGCTCTCGAGCCCAGCCTACTGGAGGTCTCCAGAAATTCCTGCCTTCAAACACAAGAGCTCCTGTGCACTCCCCCATCTGTCTTAATCACTTTCTTGTACTGAGACAAAAAACCCTACACCTATATGTTAAAGGAGATAAGATTCATTTCAGTTCAGTTCGTAGATGTTTCAGTCCAGAGTCAGGAGACTTCAAGGCAGGGAGGCCGGGCAGGGCCATCACAAAGGAGAAACAGCCCACAGCATGCACGCAGGAAGCAGCAAGCAGGCAGCTTCCCCCTCTTCACCGAATTCAGGCTGTGAGGCTGTCGGTGGATCCCACTCACACCCAGGCTGGGTCTGCTGTCTTCCCTAATCCACTCAGCCACACCCAGAACAGCAGAGTGATCCAGTCATTACACCCTGCATCCAGGGTCACACACCCATATCCAGCCACCTCTGACAAACCCCACCTTTGAGCACAAGGATTAGGGGTATCATCTAGACACAAGGCATAACACCTCCTTACCCCATCTCAGGGTGAGGGGCTCAGGCAGCCCCTCATGCTGAACATGGCATATGTAATTCTGCTCCTCTCCAGAAGGCACCATCACAGCCACCCACTTCTGGAAGTTTCCAGTCCCGTCAGGCCTGGTCTCCACCAGCTCCATCTCCTGGGTCAGCTCCTGCCCATCCCGATGCCAGGTCAGGGAGATGTCCTTAGGGTAGAAGCCCAGGGCCCAGCACCGCAGGGTGACCTGTTCCTTGGAGATGGGGTGGCGGGTCACGTGTGTCTCTGGAGGGTCTGAGGGCAAGAGAGTAAAATGCAGGCTCTTTGCATTCTTCCTGGGTCACTCCAGGCAGCGCTCCTGTGACCATTCTGAGAATGGATGGGACAAGTGTAGTTGGGGTGGCTGCAAACCTAGGACACCAGTCTGCACACAGGCAAAGACATCCCAGATGGATGATTTGTTCCTCAGACTCCTGGTGAGTCAGCCCCTGGGAGGAAGCTCCAGGTCTCTGGGGGAGGGAAGGGACCTCTGCCCTGAGTGGGTGGAGATTGAGAGGCCTGAATAAGCATAGTCAGAGCTCCACAGACACTGGGTGTGGGGCAGAGAACAAGCCTGAGAGAGCTCAGGTTCACAGCCTCCTGAAGAGCAGTGTAAGTGGCATCTCAGGGATCTTCCCCTCCCATGAGGGACAGACTCTTTCTCTCCTGAGAGAAGGGGGCTCAGGGGGACGATCTGCTATCAGCTGTGCAATCCCAGGGGCGCTCTTCCCCAGGACAGGAGAGGGCAGCACTACTGGGAAGGGTCCCATTTTCCTCCCTGGGAGACACCCGTCCAGCCAGAGTGCAGATGGGGAGGTCCTCAGGGCCTGTACCTGCGCGCTGCAGCGTCTCCTTCCCTTGCTCCAGATATCTGCGGAGCGACTCCACGCACTTCCCCTGCAGGTAGGCCCTGTATCGCTCTGCCTCACCGGCCTGCACCCACTTGCGCTGTGTGACCTGAGCCGCAGTGTCCGCCGCCACCCAGGAGCTCAGGTCCTCTGCAAAGGCCATGTAATCTTTCCCGTCGTAGGCGTCCTGCCTGTACCCGCGGAGGAAGCGCCAGTCAGGCCCCACTTCGCAGCCGTACATCACCTGGAGGGTGTGAGAACCTGATCCCGCCCCCGCCGTCAGCCCTGCCATCGCCCCCCACCCCGGGATTTTCCTCCCAAACTGAAAATGAAATCGAGTCGTGGTCCCCGCGATTCCGGGGCCGGGGTCACCTTGTGAACTCGGGGTCCCTGGGACCAGTGGGACCCTCCGTGGGGGTGGGCAGGGGCCGTGACCTCTGACCCGGCCGGGGTCACTCACCGTCCCCACTCTGGTTGTAGTAGCCGCGCAGGGTCCGCAGGTTCACTCGGTAAACCTTTGCACGGTGCTTGGCTCTCTGTGTCTCTCTGTCCCAATACGCCTGACCCTCCCGCTCCATCCACGGCGCCCGCGGCTCCATCCTGGGATTCTCGGCGTCACCGTCGAAGCGCACGAACTGCGTGTCGTCCACGTAGCCCACAGTGAAGAAGCGCGAGTCCCCGCGTCCGGGCCGGGACACCGCGGTGTAGACGTAGCGCAGGGAGTGCGAGCCTGCGGGGCGGGGCGGTGAGACCGCGACCTCTTCCCGGCCGGCCCGCCGCTCCCGCCGCCCTGCGCCCGCACTCACCCGCCCGGGTCTCGGTCAGGACCAGGACCCCCGACAGCAGCAGGAGGAGGGTTCGGGGGGCCACCTCCGCCATCCGGGGGTAGAGGACTGAGCTCCTGGCCCTCTGTGCGGACTTATAAAAGGACCTTCGGCGACTCTGATTGGCTGCGTTAGGAGCCGCCAACCAATGCGGGTGAGAAGCAGCCTCGCGTCACCAGTGTCCAGGCAGAAGGGCCCGACACGGCTTGGCAGAGGGAGAAGTGAAACCAGGGGAGTCCTGAGCTGGGCGGGCTGTGTCCACCCTGGGCGCTGCCTTGGGATTCAGAACAGCCGGCCACCGCCCAGAACGCGGACCTTGCCCACCGTTCTCGTGCACAGGTGGCAAGTGCCCTAGGCGGTGAAGATCTGTGCCATAAACCTGTGTAAATAACCGTGTGTAGCTAATAGGTGCACAGGAGCCCATGCTGGGAGCGCGCTTAGCTTTTATTCCGTTATGCAGAAAAGCTACGCTGGGACTCACAGGCTTCAGTGTATCACCGTGATCTTCTCAGTAGACTGTGGGTTTTCTGTGTGGTTCTGGGACGGATTTCTAACACATGCCACGCCTAAGATGAGTGAACGCACATTTTACTAACTAGCCTTACAGAAGAACCAAAGCCTGATGTGTCAACAAATGGGCATAAAAATAAAAAACCCTTCTCTAGATGGTTTTGTAACCAAGTGTGTGCCCACACACTGTAATCTGGCCTTGCCCATCTTAAATTCTGTGTGTTCTCAGTGTTGGACAGAAAGACACAAAAAAATAAGTCACCTGACTGCCTTATGTGCTGTTAGGGCGCATGCGCAATGCAGGGTGGGCCACGCAAGGCAGATCGGGAGCCCAGAGAGGGCTGCCCGGGTCACAGCCTGACTCAGCCCGCTGGTGACTGTTTTAAGTCTCTTAATTGGTGTCAGGTAGGTGTACAGAATGGTCCTGTTCTTGATAGGGAACTTGTACATGTACACGATAAATCGTGATTCCTGTTTTCCCCCAGTCCTCTCCTCTCCCTTCAACCCCTCTTCATTGCCTGATTTACAAAGGTTTCTTTCCATTTTGTCCTTTTTATTGTTTTTTATTTCGGTTTTCGTTTTTTGTTTCATTGCTTTTCCCTTTCCCCCGTCGCTCTTTCCTTTTCAATAATGTTTCCTCCTTTTTCTTTTTTTCTTGCTGTTTTGAGGCAGGGTTTCATTATGCAGTTCTTGCTGGCTTTGACCTCACTTTATGGCCCAGGCTGGCCTAGAACCTGTACCTGATTGAAGAACCAACATTAAGCCTATCAACATTATATTACTTTAGAACCACAACATTTCCACCTTGCAGCTGAAACAGCCAACATTGTTTCTCCCCCTTGCTGTCTGGGCCACGCCCCAGGCTCCTGGAGCTCTTTGGTTCCCTCCCCTGCTTGGAGGCTGTGAGAAGTGGTGAGAGGAGAAGACAGCAGCGGTTTCTCCTGTAAACAATAGTTTTAAAGTCTGTAGAGGCCCAGGGAGACTGTGTTCCTTCATTTTCTCATCAGCCGTGCTCTAAGCCGTTTTCCCGTTTCCTCCCATGTATGTAAACTTAGAATTCCTTCCTTTGGAAACAAACTCAAGAAAGTTAGCAAGCTGTCTGGTGCCAGTGCACTGGAAATGAAAGTTGACACAAGAGAGCAGAAAAGACCTAAATAAATGTAGAATTATATTAATCATGAATTTGAAGCAAGTGCCCTTCTTGGGATTTACACTATGAGATGCTGAGGCTCACTGTAAAGCCTTAGTGAGCCAGTGACATGCAGGAGGCAGCCTCTCGCCAGCCTGTGAAAGCCGATTCTTGGATTTTTAGAAGTTTCTTATGCTGGTTGTTGTAATGGTTATTTGAAATTGTCTTTTGTGAGAATATTTTGTGAATAAAAATCAGCAAACCACCAATCAGGACCACATTACCCCACCACCACCACCACCAGGAGCCGGCCGTGCACCGCAGGGAAGCTGTCCGAGCCCGAGCACCCCTAAGCTGCTGCAGGCCCCCCTGGAAGTGTTTCTTCTGGAGCAGGAAGGCCTTCCACATCAGTATTTCATTTACATCGAGTGACCCAACGAGACCACGATCTACACTGTGGACGGAGGGAAGCAGGTTGTGTTGAAGGGACAGATGGTGGCTGTGCTGTCCCCACAGGTGCAGCAGCACAGCTACTGGCAACATGTCCCCTCCCCTCCACATGGAAGACAAACACCTTTCTTCTTTCTTTTTCCTTTAGGCTGTGACCTGATGGCCTGAGTGATTATAATTTGTCCAGGACTATCGGGGATCGGAAGTTTAGTAACCGGGTAGACATGAGGAAACCCTCTCCGCATTCCCGCCCATCTGGCTTCTTTCAGCATCAGTTGCAAGGGAGACAGAGAAAACCGCTCTGCTCCCTAGAGCCGAAAGTTTCAACCCGTGATGCAGCAAAATTTCTCTGAGCTGAGAAAGTGGAGATGGCTATTTGTGGCTCAGTTAAGGTTACTGAGCTGGCTGTCATTCCACCATCTTTTTCCTGCTTGGGACTTGATTTTAAAATAGTGCCTGGGGGACCTACTCTTACTAAAAAGTTTTTGTGTGTCAAAATAAATCAGCAACAAAGTGAAATGAAAACCCACAGGTGGGAAAGAATTTTAGCCAGCAACCCCTCAGTCAAAGCACTTTTATCTGGAACATACAAAGTATTAAAAATCATCAGGCCCCCAAATTCAAAGACCCTCTCCAAAAATGGGCATCTGAGATGAACACAGAGTTCTCAGAGGACGATATACAAATGGCAAATAAATACATGAAGAAATGTTCACCATTACTGGTCATTCAAGAAATGCAAATTAAAACAGCATTGAGATTTCATCTCCTCCCAGAAAGAATGCCTGCCATCAAGAAATCAACTGATAGGGGCTGGGGATTTAGCTCCACAACATAAGCGCCTGCCTTGCAAGTGTGTGGTCGTGAGTTCAATCCCTGCTACTCACAAAAAAGAAAAAACAAAAAAGAAATCAACTGATAACAAATGTTGACAAGGCTTCGGGGTAAAAGGAACACTGCTCCACTGTTGGTGGGAATGCAGGCTGGTGAAGCTACTATGGAAATCAGTATAGAGATTCCTCAACAAGCTAGGATTACAGGTTCCATCCAATCTATCTATTCCCCTCCAGGGTATTTTCCCAGAAAGGTTGAAAAGGTCATGTCTCAGTGATATATGTGCACCCAGGTTTATAAGCAGCGCAATTTGTACTAGCTAAATGTTGGAAACAACCAAAATGCCCATCAACCACAGAATGGATGAAAAAGATCTGCATTTCTATACAATAGAATATTACTCAGCTATAAAAAGGATGTTCTTGAGGCTTTTATAGGTAAACGGAGGCCACTTGAGTCTATGCTCATAAGTGAAATAAATCAGACTCACATGTGTAAATATCGTATTGTCTTTCTAGTATAAAAACTAATAACAAAAACCTGAAAGAGTAATAAGATCCAAATTGTATAACAGATATTGTGATAAAGACAGGGAAAGAAAGTGCTCTAAAGGATATAACTGTGTGTATAAGTGTGTAACACAGATGACTGTACTACTAAGTTTTTGTTAGTTCATCAAACAGAGTGGTTTGCACTGTCAATCTTTGATTGTCCAATTTTTATGCTTTGATTTTGTGACTTGAGCAACTACTTCCAAGGTAACAATATGTAATTTATCAACTAGTGATTTTTTCCTGCTTTTTAAAATTCTGTATTATTTCTACCCTTTTTTGTTTTGCTTTTTTTCTCTAAATAAAATAAAATAGTTCCTGAAACCAATTCCACTGTGGTTGTCTCAAGAACTTTATGACTATTAAGACCATGTCTAGTTCAGATCCACCACAAAAATGAAAATTCTAGAATCAACTACACATCACACAGTTCCACTTACATTTGCAATTGTTTAGAATTTGTGTGTCCCATAGTAAGACAGCCGATATAGTCAATATAACGCTTTTATTTTTGTTTCTTTTTTTTTCTTTTTGCAGGGAAGAGTTTCTCACAAGACCATGTATAACTGACCCTAGAGAATAAGAGGTTGTTTAATGCCCCACTCTTCACACCTGATGCAGCCAATATCACACACTCCCGGGATGACCCCTGACCTGTACCAACGACTTCTCACATTGTTGTGTGCAAATGGGAAATGTCCCCTCAGCCTCCATCTCTTCCCCTGCCCATGTTCAGGTGCCACATGCTGAAACCCATGCAGCTCTTGAGGTTTTTGGGTGAAGGACTGTGAGAGAAGGAGAAAATAGAGACAAAGCTGGGGTCAGGGGGAGCCCTTGTCCTCCTCATGGGCAGAAAGGAGCCCCTCAACCACTGAGGCACATTTCTTTATAAACTCCTGTACCCCACACATTCCCAAGAAGAATGTCAACTTCAACCCTGCTGCCTGGCAACCTGTTTGCTGGCTGGCCTGGCCCCTCGCCCTCCTGGTGCTGGAACAGCTTGTTTTCATGGCTTGTTTTGAGCCTCTGTGTTTCAGGGCTGGCCGTGCTCTGGTCTTCCTCTTCAGGTGGGTCTTCGTCACCTGGCTTCTGGTGCAGACTGTTTCGTTCCCACCTGGGTCTCTTCAACCTTCTGGTGTGGACTCTTCAGTCTTGCAGTGTAGGCTCTTCTGCGTTCCTTTGTAGAGGTGTTCAGATCTGGACTTGCACACACATTTCAGTGTGGAGATTCCTCAAAATCTAGGATGAGAGGTCCCATTCAACCCAGCTATTCCCCTTCTGGGTGTCTTCCCAGAAGAATTAAAAGCATCACACCACAGTGGTGTATGTGCACCATGTTCACAGCAGCAGAATGTGTAATTGCTAGATCCTGGAAACTACGTATATGTACACTGACTGATAAATAGGTAAAAAGCTGTACTTTTATGCAATGGATGCCAAATCATCTCTAAAGAAGGACAAATGAGGCTTTTATGGATAAATGGATGCAACTTGAGACCGTTCTCATAAGTGACATAAATCAGATGTGCATGTGTAAACACTGTATTGTCTCACTAGTCCGAGAAGCTGAAAGAAACCATGTCTGTATATGTGTATAAAATATAGTTAAAATAGTTACACTGCTGATTTCTCTGAGTTAATTGAAGACAAGGATTTGTGCTGG